AATAGTCAAGATTAGAGCAGAACTGAATGACATAGAGACAAAAAGAACAATTCAGAGGATCAACCAATCCAGAAGCTGGTTCTTTGAAAAGATTCATAAAGTGGACAAACCTTTAAGCAGACTCATCAAAAAAAAAGGGAGAGGACCCAAATTAATAATATCAGAAATGAAAGAGGAGAAATAACAACTGATACCACAGAAATACAAATGATTATCAGAAACTATTATGAACAATTATATGCCAAGAAATTTGAAAATCTTGATGAAATGGACAAATTTTTAGAAAAGTATAATCTTCCAACACTGAAGGAGGAAGAAACAGAAAGCTTGAACAGACCGATAACAGTTGGGGAAATTGAAGCAGTAATCAAGAAACTCCCAGCACACAAAAGCCCAGGGCCAGACGGTTTCCCAGGAGAATTTTACAAAACATTTAAGGAAGAGCTAACCCCTGTCCTTCTCAGACTATTCCAAAAAATCCAAGAGGAGGGAAGACTGCCAGACTCCTTCTATGAGGCCAGCATCACCCTGATCCCAAAACCAGATAAAGACCCTACAAAGAAAGAAAACTACAGGCCAATTTCGCTGATGAACATGGATGCTAAAATCCTCAACAAAATATTGGCAAACCGCATCCAGCAATACATTCAAAAGATTATCCATCACGATCAAGTGGGATTCATCCCAGGGATGCAGGGATGGTTCAATATACGCAAATCAGTAAACGTGATACACCACATAAATCAAAGAAAAGACAAAAACCACATGATCATCTCGATAGATGCAGAAAAAGCATTTGACAAGGTACAGCACCCATTTATGATCAAAACACTCAGTAAAATGGGAATAAATGGGGCATTCCTCAACGTAATAAAGGCCATATATGAAAAACCTACAGCCAATATCATACTCAACGGGCAAAAACTGAAAGCTTTCCCACTAAGATCGGGAACACGACAAGGATGTCCGCTCTCACCGCTTCTTTTCAACATCGTATTGGAAGTCCTAGCCACAGCGGTCAGACAAGAGAAAGAGATAAAAGGCATCCAAATAGGAAAGGAGGAAGTAAAACTATCATTGTTTGCAGATGACATGATAGTGTACATAGAGAACCCTGTAGACTCTACCAAAAAACTCCTCAACCTAAAAAGTGAATTTGGCAAAACAGCAGGATACAAAGTCAACATTCAGAAATCAAAGGCGTTTCTGTACACCAGCAATGCAATAGAAGAAGAAGAAATCAGGAAAAATATACCATTCGATATAGCACGAAAAAAGATAAAGTACCTAGGGATAAATTTAACCAAAGACACAAAAGACCTGTATGCAGAAAACTATGCAACATTGAAAAAAGAAATTAAGGAAGACACAAATAAATGGAAGCATATACCGTGCACATGGATTGGAAGAATTAATATCCTTAAAATGTCCATACTACCCAAAGCAATTTATAGATTCAACGCAATCCCTATTAAGATACCAATGACGTATTTCACAGAAATAGAACAGACATTTCAAAAATTTATATGGAACCATAAACGACCTCGAATAGCCGCAACAATTTTGAGAAAGAAACACAAAGTAGGAGGGATCACAATACCGGACATCAAACTCTACTACAAAGCCACTATACTCAAAACAATCTGGTACTGGCACAAGAACAGACCCATAGACCAGTGGAACAGAATAGAAAGCCCAGAAATAAGCCCAGGTCTCTATGGACATCTAATATTCGACAAAGGGGGCAGAAGCATAAAATGGGGCAATAACAGCCTCTTCAACAAATGGTGTTGGGAGAGCTGGATGGCTACATGCAAAAAATTGAAATTGGATCATCAGCTGACACCATACACAAAAATAAACTCAAGATGGATCAAAGACTTAAATATAAGTCGCAACACCATCAAAGTCCTAGAGGAGAACATTGGCAGGAAACTCTCAGATATCCCGCGCAGCAATTTTTTCACTGATATGTCTCCTAAAGCAAGGGACATAAAGGAAAGAATAAACAAGTGGGACCTCATCAAAATAAGAAGCTTCTGCACGGCTAAAGAAAACATCAGCAAAATGAAAAGGGAGCCAACCATTTGGGAAAATATATTTGCTAATGATACATCAGATAGAGGTTTGATCTCCAAGATATACAAAGAACTCACTCGACTTGACTCCAAGAAGACAAACGATCCAATCAAAAAATGGACAAAGGACCTGGGCAGAAGCTTTTCCAAGGAGGAGATACAGAGGGCCCAGAGGCATTTGAAAGGATGCTCTGCATCACTAGCCATCAGAGAAATGCAGATCAAAACCACCATGAGGTACCACCTCACACCGGTCAGAATGGCCATCATAAACAGATCCACAAACAACAGGTGCTGGCGAGGCTGTGGAGAAAAGGGAACTCTAGTCCACTGTTGGTGGGAATGCAGACGGGTGCAGCCACTATGGAAAGCAGTGTGGAATTTCCTCAGAAAGCTGAAAATGGAACTGCCTTTTGATCCAGCGATTCCCCTGCTGGGACTATACCCTGAGAACACCAAAACGCCAATACAAAAGAACCTATGCACCCCAATGTTCATAGCAGCACAATTTACAATAGCCAAGTGTTGGAAGCAACCTAAATGCCCATCAGTAGATGACTGGATCAAAAAATTATGGTACATATACACAATGGAATACTATGCAGCAGAAAGAAAAAAAGAAGTACTAAACTTTGCGACAGCATGGATGGAACTGGAGAGCATCATGCTAAGCGAAATAAGCCAGGGGGCAAAAGACAAATACCATATGATCTCACCTATAAGCGGAACCTAACCAACAATACAAAGATGCAAGGAAAATATGACCAGCAACACTGAAAGGAAAAGAAATCAACAGAGACAAGAGGGAGGGGGGGGCAGGGAAAGGGAAGGGAAGGGGAAAGTCAAGGAACATATAGCAAGGACTCATGGACAAAACCAAAGGGGAAGAGCTGAGGGAGGGAAGGTGGGAGGGGGCAAGGGAAAGAGGTGGGGGGAAGGCAGAGACAAATGTATTTAAAAAGTAAATAAATTAATTTAAAAAAAATCAAAAAAAAAAAAAGATACCTCTCAAGTCAATGAGACAAAATGGAGGAACTATACAGATATTTTTTAGGAAACTGATGGACTATACAGGAAAAAGTGTAGTTGAAAAATTTTCACAATATACCAAACTGTGTGCAGATGGATTAAAGAAGTAAATGTGAAAGATAAGCTCTAAAGCACACAGATGAAAATATAGAAATGTATATTGTGATTTTTGGAGTAAGAAGGACTTAATCAAAGTTTCCAAATTAAGAAAAAAACACATATGGGGGAAATTATTCAGTTGCCTATCTAAAAATTAAGAACTTGGGGTGATAACATGTACAAAGTTGTCAGATTACTGACATTTGGGAAAATATTTTTGCAATATCAACACCATAAACAGCATTTTCAACTGGTGTGCCACAAGAATTTTGGAAACATGAAATACCTGACAATTTAGTTAGAGGCACTGACATCTTTTCTCTTAGATTGTCAAATAAAAAGGCAACACAACAATATATGGGAAGCCTATTTGGAATATGGTCCTATTAAAAGGGACCTGTGAGCCCTGAGCAAATAGCTCACTCGGTTGGTTAGAGCATCATCTCAATATGCCAAGGTTGCAGGTTTGATATTTGGTCAGGGCACATACAAGCATCAACCCATGGATGCATAAATAAGTAGAATGACAAACTGATTTCTCTCTCACTCTCCATTGCTCTCTCTAAAATTAATAAATAAAAAAATAAATTAACTAATAACATAAAATGGACCTGTGAGACTTTGGTTTTCTCATTTGCACATTCTATAAATATTTATTAAGTGCTTATCACATAGCAGCATTATTCTAAGTCCTGAAAATACAACAGACAAAATTCTCTGCCCTCACAGTATTTGAATACTCCACAATGTTCTCTCCCACTAACAGAAAAGGAAATTAGTTTCTACTAACTTAATTTTCCTTCTTAGCAACAATCATGTTATTTTAAATTAAAAAAACACTTGGTGCATTTCTCCTAAATCCACACTTTTGAATGGCAATAACTTCTCTCACAGATTTGACAGGCATGGATATTTAACATACGGCTCATGTTTTGACTGTAAAGCCTAGAGGTTAGGTGGATCCAGAGTGCTTAAGAGTGAATCATAGCTCTTTCTTTACAATCTGTGTGACATTTGGCAACTTTCTTGAGTTTCAGTTTCTTCATCAGGAAAATGTCACTAAAGTGGAGACTTGACATAAAGTTGGTATAAGGATGAAATGAGGTAATATAACAGGACAGAATCCAGCACGTGATAAAAACTCAGTGTTGGCTGCTTTTACTTCTATATCTTGATTATGTATTATGATTCTGAAAATTTATTTCCCTACACACTCTATTTAAAAATTAGCATGGTAACACCTCTTGGTTATTAATGAGGCAATTAAAATTTTCTTTAAGTAATAAGCAGAAAAGGAAGTCTTATGTTTTCCCTAAATCTATACCCTAGTGGTGTATAATGTGTGACTAATTGATTAACCATTAATCCTAGTGTGTGAAACCTGAACTCAGGATTGTAGGGCTTGAAGGGATGTGAGAGATTATTTTACCAGTCCCAGCCCTTTTTTACAGAGAAGGACTCAAAAGCCTAGAGGATGTACGTGCCTTTCCCCGAATTGGCACAGCTAGAAGATGGCACTGCTTATGTGATAGAGATGAACTGATGATTAAAAAAGAGTATCACGATTGGGAAATAAAGATTGTGATTAGGGGAGGTATTACCCTAGATGACTTGTCAAATGGCTGTGAATTGGTGACATGAATAATCTCACTTAATCAGAGATCCTGGACTTGGAGGATTTATAGTTATGCCACATATAAAGAACTTGTGAGACTTCCATTACACTAACATTCTTTAGTTCAGTAGGTGGAGCCAATCTTCCTCATTAGAATAAAGCAAACAGATCCAACCCAATTATAAGTGGGAAAAAAATGTGCCTTCTGTCACTGAGGGTTGCAGAGAGTGGTGACTAGCTGGAGAACTCGGGTGCAGTGACAAGAAACATCAGAGCATGAGTTCTAAGTCAAAACCCATAGGGATCATCGGAGCTCCTTTCTCGAAGGGACAGGTGAGTAAAAAGCCTGCCTTTGAATAGCTGGAATTTATTAGACAGTTCCAGTTTTTAAAATTAGTAAGGTGTTATTGTCTAGGTAGTTAAATTCAAGCTGGCCCTGAAATAGTATGTAGTTTGACATTGTCTCACCATTTTGAAATTCTGTACAATTATGTTCACAAATCCATTTATATTAGTGGCTTCTAATCTCAGCCACAGTCTACTTTATTTGAATGTACTAAATTTCCCTTATATTTTTAGCCTGCTTCCTGCGTGAAGCATTGCTCAAATGCTCACTGCCTGGGCCCCTCCTGTGTGTTTTTCTTCCCTGGTCACCACGAAACCCCAGAATAGGGCAGTAATTTGCTGATTGAGATCAGCAGCTCCCAGGAAGCATGAGAAGCAAATGGTTTTGCAGTAAGTACATAGTTGGTTATTATTTAAGATGAGGATGGAAAAAAAAAAAGTTCTAACTGGGGGAAGATATTCTTCTGCTTTAGGTGTAATGTCAAATGTACCCAGTAACTCTTGATATGACTAAGGCATTCTTAATACATTTATTTGTGGTTTGTGGACCAGATGGATTAATACTATACACACACTTTTGGGGGCTAAAAATTAATTTGAAACTCATCTTCTGACATCTTGAAAAAATAATCTTTTCTCATTGCCTGTTGTTTTTTCATCTTGCAAAGTAAGGAAAATTAATGTCAACTTCCAGTTAACTGTATAGAGATTTTTGGAAAAGAAATCCTCTCTTATGGGTACTAATTTCTAGCAGCATGGAAATCTATTTTTCACAACTAAGGTGAGTAGGGCTGCTTCAGTGCTTTCTTTTCACCAAGAGTGAGAAGTCTAAAATCCTATGGAGAAAGCGGCCCATTTTCCTGGTTCTTAGCACCCCCAGAAGTTTCGAGAGCCTTCTCTCCTTGAAGATGAGCCCTGCCATGCTGCAGAGGGCCTCTAATGACCCGTGCTCAATACCTGCACCAACTAGTGTGCTTACAAGGCTTAGGGGGCAGAATGCCAAAGATATGACAAAGAGAGAGGCTTTTTGGAGAAGTAACATTATATGGCTTCTGTTTCGGCAGTATTTTGTCTCACCTCTTTTTCCCCCAGCAAGGGACTCAAACTACTTTGAAATGTCTCTTCACTACTCTGTTTTCTAGAAATTAGGTGTGGGGTTTTATCTTGTTTTTCCACTGAGATAATTTCTTATTAGAATAAAATATTGCTCTGGCCAAGAACGTTGATTCAGAACGTTGTCCCAAAATGCCAAGGTTGTGGGTTCGATCCCCAGTCAGGGCCCATTCAAGAATCTACCAATGAATACATAAATAAGTGGAACAATAAGATTCTCTCTCTCTCTCCCCCATTTCTCTAAAATCAATCAATAAAAAAATAATGAAATGTTAAGCTCAGTCTGGTAGGAAGACCATATTTTAAGTTTACTAAAGAAATATGACCCACCCCTCATTAGAATGCAAAGGTAAATACATACATCTGCTGCCTGTAGTTGCCCTCTCTAATATGGCTCCATTTCTTCATGTCTCAGCTCCATAGACTATATATATTTACGTGGTTCTAGTTTACAATAGCCGTTTCACTTACTTTAATCTCTCCTTTGCCAAGTGAGTGTATATGTAAGTGTTGTCTCTTGTTAACAAGAGAAACCCACAAAAGTAGAGGAAATCAAAATTAGAAATACTAAACTTGCATTTGAAAGAAAAACACTTTATGTAAAATGTTTTTTCCACTCATTTCAATTTCATTTTTCAAACATGTTAATTTTTTTTAAATGATAAAGAAATAGCATTTTTAAATGATAAAATAGCATTTTTTATCTGTCACAGAGCAAAAATAGCAATTGCTCTGTGACAGATAAAGCAGTCAAGTTCTTTATGAGCATTATCTAATTTGATTCTCACAGTAATCCCATGAGTTGGTTACAGTAACGGTCTTCACTTTATAGATGAGGAAACTGAGGCATAGAAAGGTGATGTAACTTAGCCAAGGTCACACTGATTGGCTGGTGGAGAGGTGCAGCTGGGATTGGAGCTTGAGTCTTTTAAAATCCAGAGTAAGTTAAATTAAGTTTTTATAAAAAATAGAGAAAATAAATTTTCCTCATATTTTTAAAAAAGAAATATTTTTATTTGAATGGAAATGGGCTATTTCTTCATTTTAGCTACTTATTTAGATTTCCATGTTCTCATTGTTTTTAGTGCTACATAGAGAAAGAATTTTTAGAAAATACATTTATTTAGTTACATAATTAATGTCTAGAAAAATTTCATAGAGTGGCATCAACCATCAGAGTTCTTTTAATTTGAATAACCTATATATGATTGCTTTATGCAACTTTGTGAATGATTCATACTTTTAAGGGCTTTAATAATTCTATAAAGTGTTAGTCCATGTATTAAAGAATCCTTTGCATACCTTTCTTTGAGGCAGGAAAAAAGAAAAGTGAAAGAAAGAAAATCTGACTGTAAGTTGGTAATGTTGAAAGAGCTAATTAGTGGATTTAAGAAACTCTGAGACTGCCCAAACATGACAGTAACATTGAAATCCACTCTTTTTTTCTTCTACCTGGTCACACTCATTCTGGTAAATATAGTAAGATTACAGACACCAAAGACTTGGACATATAAAAAAAGAGCAGATTCGGACAAGTGTGAATTGACACTCTTAAGGTTATTTTGTTGTTGTTGTCATTGTTGTTGTTTTAAATGGAATTTCCTCCAAGTTTCTCAGAACTTTCTCTTTGCTCACCCAGGCAGTGTTATACTCTTCTTAGTGTTGAACTCCTGCTTTGCGCTCTGGCCTCTTATTGCAAAACCAAATAGGATGGGTCAGAGGTTAGAGACCCAAACTGCATTTGGACGGTCAGTAAATACTGCTTCACTTTCCCTGGAAGTCCTTCAAAGGTCTTCTCAGAACACAGGGACATTTTGTGACACTGAAATGGCTCTCTCATATATATATGTCTATATATATATATGTCTATATCTATATAAACAAAATAAAATTTATTGTGCTAATGATCAGTTGTTTCACAAACCACCTGAGTCTCATCCAAGACCACATGCTAAGAACTCCTATCCTTAAGTATACCTAGAGCACAGTAGGGCTACTGTTTTTTGCACTGTATTCTACTTATTTGTTTGATTATATTTATTGGGGTGACATTGGTTAATAAGGTCATATAGTTTCAAGTGTGCATTTCTAAGATGTCTGGTCTGTACATTGCATTATGTGCCCACCACGTTTTGCTGACTCAGAAATTGCTCTTTTAAGGCTGCGGTTAATTGCAAAATCCTCAAAATGTTCACTTATTCTTGGGCAGGTTGTAACAAAGATAGAATTGAAACAACACACAAAAGAAAAGGAGCAAGGGAGACAAGAAGGGAGGTTGGGAAGGGGGAGAGGGCGGGAGAAACAGTGCGAACCTGCTCTGGGCCCTGGACCTCGGCAAAGGCATTAGGCAGATGATGACCCCTTTAGGGGACGTAAACCAAGCAATAAGAAAGGACTGTTCCTGAGAAGCAATTTGAATCAAAGAAATAAAAAAGAATGCTAGCAACGGTCACTCTGGAAAAATTTAGTGACTGTGTTAGAGCAAATACAGTGTCAACAAAGAGGTCCATAAAATTTGTTCTAAAGTTTTGAAGGGAGAAGGAAAAGGCCAGGGAATTTTATCCAACTGACAATTTTTGAGCATCGATGAAGTGTCATTATAAAGAAACTTGGACCATAACCTGATACAAAACCACAGGCAAAATTTGAGCCAAGCAGCATTCTATGGGGCTGTAAAGAATGAGAAATTGTATCTATTTGATTGGAGTGGGGGTGAGGAAAGTCAGGTGAAAAGGGAATGGAATAAAGGAGCGAAATGAGTCAGGCAGAGCACATGTGGTCCCATACTGCCAGGGACAGGAATTTGAATTAAGGATTTGCTTGGCAGCCAGGACAAGTCATCTGCTCATTTGAATTGGGAAGAAGTATTTCTTGGTCTGGTGCCACAGTCCAATCCTACAGACAGATGTATGTCTTTTGGCACCTCTTCTCTGACGACAGGAAATAACTTTGTATGTAAAAACCTTGTCGGAAATTAGAATCAGAGAGATGCATAAAAGAACTGTCTCTTTAGATCACTAATCTGCCAGGAGCTGGATAAGGTTTATTACCAGGAGGAAGTAGGTTAGCTTCCCTGACGTAAAAACAGCAAGTGCAGATTTCTTGTTCACTGAGTTTATTAAGCAGGTCAAAAGTTGACATACCAGGTTGTCTTTGTGGGTTCAGCCAGCTCCTAGGTGATTTTTCCTTGCTGCCTGCGTGGTCCCCAAGACCCCCACGTTCTACCGTGAGGGCCTGCGTGTAGATTTCTCCCCAGCCACATTCTAAAAAATGCCTTTACTCAAGCTCTTCCCCAGCTTTACAAAGTTTCTCCATCACCCCTCCGTTGTCCTGAACTCATGTTGCAACACTAAACTGAAATACCATCTGCTCCACCCCATACCCTCTGGGTCTGGCAGAGTTAGGAGTATCTTGTTTCTGTTGTTATGACGTCTTGTACAGTATTTGGTTTGAAGCAAATCTCTAAGTACTGGAATGGAGGTTAAATATCCAAATCTCCTATTGCCTCATGAGTTACTTAAAAGATACAAACCCTCTCCTTTTAATAATTGTATCTCCATCTATTGGAGTGCTTTTATACAAAATAAATGTTTACTATGTGGGTAACATGGTGTGATGGGAAGAGGACATACAGGTTTTGGAATCCGAAGGACCTGGGTAAGGTCCTGAGGCTCTGCCACTTGTCAGCTGTGTGCCTGTAGGAAAATTATATAAACTTCCTGATTCTAGATCCTCATGTCTGACATAGAAGTAATCCCCTCTACCTTGTTGTGTTAATTAAATGAGATTACATAAATTTCTGGCTCTGTAAGAACTCAATAAATCACAAGTTGCTATTCAACTGATTAAAAAAATAAGAACTTCTTATTTGTGTGCATCTGATGATTAAGATGATGTCTGAATTTGTTTTTTAATCATTCAGCCACGAGGAGGAGTAGAAGAGGGCCCTACAGTATTGAGAAAGGCTGGCCTGCTTGAGAAACTTAAAGAACAAGGTAATTTTTTTAAAAAATCTTATTTATTTATTTTTTTTTGGAGAGGGGAAGAGAGGGAAAAAGAGGGAGAGAGAAAACATCAATGTGTGAGAGAAACATCTATCAGCTGCCTCTCTCACACACACCCCGACCGGGGATAGGCGGGCAACCCAGGCATGTGCCCGGACCGGAAATCAAACCTGCAGCCTTTCCATTTGCAGGGTGACACTTGACCAACTGAGTCATGCCAGTCAGGGTGAGATCATTTTTAAGTTGCAAGATGATCAGCTTGATTTCCTCCCCACTCTGAAGAGAAGAGCTCTTGTTAACCCAGGGTGTGTCTGGAATGACATCTGTGCTACAGAACTGCAGCTCTGGCTGTAACTTAGACACACACCGTATTAAGAAAAAGCAGCATATGGGGGAAATGCATGATCAGTATTGTTCATTTACTCAGCATATTTTGTCTTTCCAGCCAGATTACTGTGTAAGAGAATCTGTGTGTTTAAGAACTGGAGTAAGGGTCGGTGGTGGGGGAGTTGAGGGGATTGAAAAGGAAAGGCAAGGGGCAGCAGGAAGTGCACTACTAGCAAGAGGAGCCCTATTTGTAAGAGGAAATAAAACAGTAATAATACTGAGTCTTTGTTTGACCACACCATTTTCCTTGGTAGGGGCTTAGCGCCAGCGAAGAAGCGGCAGGCTTCAGGTAGGTCAAGTTGGGCTGGGAAAGTGTGCTCCTCCAATGGGTCAGGTGGGGAACCAGGTTCCTAGGGCCTGGTGTGTAAAAGGAAGAGGCACTGAGGAGCTGGATGCAGGAAGAACAGCGCCCCCCACCCCAACCTTCCCAGCTCTGTGAGGGAGGAGGAGGAGGAATCGGGGCTAGTTGTTCAGCGTCTCAAGGCTTTTCAAGCCCTTTGCCACCCAGAGCCCATGAACGGGGTGGCCTATTGCATCAACAGGCCTCCTTGGATACCACCCTTCTGTCAATGGTGTTAGGGCGGCCGGTACCACGGGCTGTGAAAGAATTCACAAAGAGAAGGAAAGGCAGAGAGCAGCGTTTTATTCACTTCACACGGTGAGAAAGGACCTGGTGTGAAGAGATGTGAAATGACGCTGTGAGTTTTTACTGGGTGATAAAGGAAGAGGGGAGCGCAGCAGGGTAGTCATGGCAATTAGTTGCAAATTAGGAGGTTTCCGGCTGATTGAGCAGGCTTCAGTTTGTTCTGCTGTTATCTTTAGGTTCAGTGTCTAGGCGTTTGGGTCTAGTATGACCTGTTTGTATAAGTTCTTAAAACACCTGTGTGGGGGATGCTTTTAGTAATCTCTCCAGTCCTAAGGATAGAGACGTAGAGAAACAACAGTTGAGTAAGCCTGACATATTCAAGGAAAGAGATAGCTAGCTCTGGTAAAGAGGGCTTGAAAGGTGCTTTTTTTTGTCCTTTCAGTTGATTCTGAAAATGGGGCCACTCAAAAGGATTGGGAATGGAATGGACCTGGGGTCTCTGAGTCAGAACCAGGTGGGGAGGAATACCTATGGAGCTTTCAGCAGCTTTACCATTAGGCCTGGGTGGCTATGCCAAATTCCTTGTCTTTCCACATTGTGCAAGAGTAAAGTTAGAACTTCTTGTAGACAGCTAGCTACATCCACGAATACCTACCGTAGACATCAGAATGAGCTATTAAGTCAAAACTGTATTTTCTTTCAGTTTCTGCCTTTCTCTCCAGGCACTTCCTTCCACTAGCTGGAGCAGTTCATTTCCCTTGGCTGTTGCAAAAACTGATACTTATTTTTCTTTAAGAGGAGGACTAAGCTCTCCAAAAATATGCCCATGAACATCCACTGTAATATGAGAAATAATAAGGGAGTATTAAGTTACACCACTGCTATTCATAAACATGGGAAGTATAAACAAAAAACCACTAATACTACTGATATATTTCTATTATTACTCATACTATACACACATATGTATTTGCATATGTGAGCATCCCAATGAAAAGTACTTTGTATTTTAAAAGCATAGCTAAAGTAAATGTCACCTGTATATATAAAAAACACTGATGAAGTGTTGGTGAGGATATGGACCACCTGGAGCCCTCAGATGTTCCTGATGAGAAGTATAATGATACAGCCACTTTAGAATGGAAATGGGCAATTCATGGACTGCAAAGGGCCCCGAGGGATCTTAGGGGGGCAGTGGAACTGTTCTAAATCTTGACTGTGGTGGTAACTGAAAGACTGTAGATATTTCTGAAAAAAATCATTGACCAGTATACTTAACATAAATACATTCTAGGAAATAAGAATTACATTTAATAAGTCTAAAGAGAGAGAGAAACCCCAGGAGAGAAGTACTGAGTAAATGAATGGCACTAGTTCATCAGTTAACAAGCATAATTTGGTCACATTTTATTTCAGGTTAAATCTCTTGATGTTGTTACTGAATCATGGATACACACAGACATGAATGAATACAATACACAATGACCGTTCAGTTGAGAACACCGAACTGAGCCCCTATTACAGTTTCGCATGAAGCTCTGTGTCTTGAGGCCTAATGCAAGGCCTTTTAAAAAGTGCACCCAGGTCCTTAGGAACTTTGGGTTACCTTATTTAAAGAGTATAATAATTAAGTCTTTATTTCTTGAGCTCACTGAAGCGTTACGATCAATGGTAACCACATACTCTTACTAAATTCTGACAATACCACTGTGAGGTTGGTACAATGGACAGAAGAGGGAGCTGAACAGCTTCATCAGGTGACAGATTGGATTGAAACCAAGGATTACAAATAAAATAATGGTGTGTTTTCTTCTGGGCATGTACACACACACACACACACACACACACACACACATATTCTATTAAAATGATTTATTTCTTTACTACAAATAAAATGCATGCTTATTGTGAAAAGTAGAAAGCACACAAGCCCAGACAGAGACAAAGACAGTGACACCACCCATTAAACCCAAACTAGAAGGACGCCCGCTGCTGTTGTACTTACAGCCTAACTGGATGGATCCAAGTGTTTCCTGAGAGCCCAGTGGGCAGCAGGCTCCGGGGTGCAGCCCAGGTGAGGCGATGATGTCAGGCAAAAGTAGGCATTGTTTCTACCTTCACAACTTTCTAGTCTGTTTAGACTTTTTCTGTTCATACTTTAGAAAACATACCTATTTTGTACATTTAAAATCATCCTGCACAGGCTGTTTTGCAATCGTTTTTTTATTTCATAACCTGCAACTTTCCATTTGTTTATAGAATGTGATGTAAAAGATTATGGCGACCTGCCCTTTGCTGAGGTCCCTAATGACAGTCCATTTCAAATCGTGAAGAACCCAAGGTCGGTGGGAAAAGCGAATGAGCAGCTGGCTGGTATGGTGGCAGAAGTCAAGAAGAATGGAAGGATCAGCGTGGTGCTGGGTGGAGACCACAGGTGCTGTTCAATGATGAGCTCTATGGTGCCCTGGCACAAATGGCATGAAGGAAGTATAACCAGTATTGTGTGACGAGAGGACATATGGATGGGAAAGCACTGATCAATAGTTTACACCACATTTTCTGCCCTTAAAAAATTTGTATTGGTTACTACTTTATTTTGGAAAGAGACTTAGCTCTATTTTAAGTCATGCATTATCTTTACTACAGCAGAAAGTACATGAAATATGAATGAATTTCAGTAACATATTCAGCACAGGCTTACCTTTCTAAATAAATAAGAACTGAGGAAATTCATAGTCAACTTTTTGTACTTGATCATGAGTAGGAACAACCCAGTAGGTCAATCTTTAAAAGTGTTTTCCATTATAAAATAATAATTATACAATTTTTGAAATATATAACACATAAAAGGAAAAAAAACAATGGTAATTATAGTTCCCTAACAAGCTTTTCAACTGGAATTGAAAATCTGGCAGTTTCCTTCCTGCCAAAGTTTTTTCCCTTTTACACAATTTTTTTTTTAACATTTGTGTGCATGTGTGCATGTTATCTTGCTTTGTTCTTAATCTACAGAAATTTCCTTATCTTACTTCATGATCTATAAGCATATTTTTTACTGTTTCATAATTTTTCATTAAATTATTATATCATTGTATATACCCATATTGTCTGATATTCAGGTTATCTTCAAATTTTCAGCATTACAAATAATATGACAAAGATAATTTTTGTGCATAAGCCTCTTTAATGTTTACTTTCAAGTTCCTAAAATATGTTAATGGAAGTATGATTAGATCAAAAGTATAAACATTACAATGGCTCGCAATGCAAGAGACAATTACTTCCCCCTCCTCAGTTTTCTTCTCTAAAGTCAAACTCTTACTAGGGCTTCTAAGACAAACAGCAGTTGATGAACTGGGGCTTGCTTTCTATTTTAAGTGGAAAGAAATTTAAGTGGACAATTTAGAAGTGGCAAAAAAGACAAGAAACCTAAAAGGAAAACAAGCATCCAGCTGAATAATCAATACTGAATATGAAAGCACAATTGCTTCCACTTTAGAAACCAGACACTCATGATTCTCTGAAGGATACTCGAAACATTCAAGAGTGGGAGAATAAGGGTTTTGTATGGTCAGTCCTAATCTTTTAACTTTTGTGTAAGATTTGTTTGTTGATTTGTAAATGATGGCCATTCTGACTGGTGTGAAGTGGTATCTCATTGTGGTTTTAATTTGCATTTCTCAGATGGCTAGTGATAATGAGCATCCTTTCACATATCTCTGGGCCTTCTATATGTCCTCCTTGGAGAAGTGTCTGTTCAGGTCCTTTGCCCATTTTTTAATTGGATTGTTTGTCTTCCTGGAGTGGAGTCATGTGAGTTCTTTATATATTTTGGATTTCAAATCCTTGCCCCAGGTATCATTGGCAAATATATTTTCCCATATGGTTGTTTCCCTTTTCATTTTGCTGATGTTTTCTGTAGTCGTGCAGAAGCTTCTTATTTTGATCAAGTCCAATTTAGTTATTCTTTCCTTTATGTCCCTTCATCTAGGGAACAGATCAGTGAAACTATTGCTGCGTAGAATATCTGAGAGTTTCCTGCCTATGTTCTCCTCTAAGACTTTTATGGTGTCACAACTTGTATTTAAGTCTTTTATCCATCTTGAGTTTATTTTTGTGTATGGTGTAAGTTGATGGTCAAATTTAATTTTTTTACATGTAGCCGTCCGGATCTCCCAACACCATTTGTTGAAGAGGCCATTTTTACTCCACTTTATGCATCTTCCTTCCTTGTTGAATATTAATTGACCATAGAGACATGGGTTTATTTCTGGGCTCTCTATTCTGTTCCATTGATCTATGTGTCTGTTCTTATGCCAGTACCAGACTGTTTTGATTACAGCGTGTGGCCTTGTGATATAGTTTGATGTCAGGTATCGTGATCCCTCCTACTTTGTTCTTCTTTCTCAAAATTGCTGCAGCTATTCAGGGTTGTTTATGGTTCCATATAAATTTTTGAAATGTTTGTTCTATATCTGTGAAATACATCATTAGTGTTTTAATAGAAATTGTATTCAATCTATAAATTCCTTTGGGTAATATGGATATTTTGATGATGTTAATTCTTCCAATTCATGAACACAATATATGCTTCCATTTATTTATGTCTTCCTTAATTTCTTTCTTCAGTGTATTGTAGTTTTTTGAGTATAGGTCTTTTACCTCCTTGGTTAAGTTTATTCCTAGGTACTTTACTTTTATTGTTATAATAGCAAATGAGATCTTTTTTCCTGATTTCTGATCCTGATATTTCATTGCTGGTATACAAAAATGCCCTCAATTTCTGAATGTTGACTTTGTATTCCACTATTTTGCCAGATTCACTTATTAGGTTGAGTAGTTTTTTGGTGAAGTCTGTAGGGTTTTCTATGTACACTATCATGTCATCTGCAAACAATGACAGTTTTACTTCTTCCTTTCCAATTTGGATGTCTTTTATTTCTTTTCCTTGTCTGATTGCTGTGGCTAGGACTTCGAATACTATATGGAATAGAAGTGGTGAAAGCGGACAGCCTTGTCTTGTTCCCAATCTTAGTGGGAAAATTTTTAGTTTTTGCCCTTTGAGTATGGTGTTGGCTGTAGGTTTTTCATATATGGCCTTTATTATGTTGAGGTATGCCCCCTTTACTCCCACTTTGCAGTGTTTTTATCATAAATGGATGCTGTACCTTATTGAATGCTTTTTCTGCTTCTATTGATATGATCATGTGATTTTTGTCTTTCCTTTTGTTTATGTGATGTATTATGCTTATTGATTTGTGGATATTGAACCATCCTTGCATCCCTGGGATGAATCCCGCTTGATCATGGTGGATGATCTTTTTAATGTGTTGCTGGATGCTACTTTCTCTGTTGTTATAATTGGTTAATTGACATCTCTGATTTAAAAACCTATGAGAAATATCAGACATTTTGACTTAAAGGGAAACAAAGCATGAGCATTGAGTTAATAATATGATGTATGTAAAGAGAAAACAAAAAGGAGAAAGAAAGAGGATGTACGTTATGATACTGCAAACCTGAAATACACACAAATTTTTCCTCCCAAGTTTGGCGATTGGAAGCATCTCTGGCCATGCCAGGGTCCACCCGGATCTCTGTGTCATTTGGATAGATGCTCACACCGATGTCAACACTCCACAGACAACCACAAGTGGGAACTTGCATGGACAACCTGTGTCTTTCCTCCTGAAGGAACTAAAGGGAAAGGTAAAAGGCTGGTTGGTATTTTATTACAAAATAATAACCTTAGGAGCAGTTCAAGTGGAGGGAAGGAAGAACCTTTCTGTCATCTTATTCTTGGTGGTACCTCAATTTTCTTGGAAGCCAATAAGCAAAGGGTTAGAGGATAAAGGTGGTAATGTTCAGTACCTCTCCTTTTTTTGACAGTTTGCAAACTGACTTTATATATATCCTTTTGATTCTTAAACTACCCTTTTTAGTAGGTGGGGCAGAGTGTAGTCCTTTATAAGCAACTTAGCAGGGGCTCAGAGGTTAACCCTGCTCACCCAAGATCACATGCCAAGAGTAGTCAGGAGTCAGGAAAGGGCCAGAACTTGTTTCCTAAAGCCAACCTCTTTCTATCACAGGCCACACAGCCGGCCTCTTATTCTTACCAAGTGTCCCCTCTGCATGATAGGGCCTTTTCAAAAATGGAGTTTTAAAATGCAGATTACAATGGCTTATTATTTAACATCTTTATTGTGAAAAGCACATATCTAAATCATAAGTAGAACTACCTCCTTGCTCCCTAGAAACTTCTTTTCTAAAATATGTAAGATAAAGCAAACTTGGCTCTAGGATATTTGAAGAACAACTAAAGGGTTAGTCAAAAGTTTCCCTCAGCCACTCTGAGCCATCTTCTAGATTAAGTCCTTACTGAGAGAGAGGAGTTAAGAAGGAATGGAAGTGATGGAAGCACACTGACTTCCTTTTGGAAGAGTCCCAGGAAAGGAGGGCCCAGTGGAAATGGTGCCCACTTGATTAAAAACTGCTGAACTCTGATAAATGATTCAGGTTAGGTCTGGGCCACACGGTCAAGCTGAGTGAGGCCAAACTAATCAAGGTACTACCAGGGGCGGCTGGCATTCTCTTCTTCATTTTGTATTCTTTTAATGATTCTTAAAAATTTGTGTTCTAAATATAAGACATATGCAATCCAACAAGTGTACTTAAATTTCAATGTAAGATTTGCTCAAGAGAAGCATATATAACCAAATGGAAACATTGCGATTTCAGATCCCAGATGTACCAGGATTATCCTGGGTGACACCCTGCATATCTGCCAAAGATATTGTGTATATTGGCCTGAGAGATGTGGACCCAGGGGAACAGTAAGTTTATTCCTTGATGTGATTGACCTTCATTTTTGTCCTTTTGTGTGCTAGGTGTACTGGCCAAACGTATGAGGAAAAATTATCTTAAGCACTGTCTATATATCTATACTTATAAATACATGTACCTATAGGCATATATGTATGCGCACGTGTGTGTGTATTCAGATGATTTTTATATTGACTTGCTGTTAATAATATGTTGATATATACATAGAGTTCACAGAACTTAAAATATTTTATGTATCTTACCACATTGATCTTTCCTTAAAAACAAACAAGAGGGCATAGGGTCAGCCTCCATATTAATTATGGATTATTTTAATATCTCCTCTTTCATAGCTACATTTTGAAAACTCTGGGTATTAAATACTTCTCAATGACTGAAGTAGACAAACTGGGAATTGGCAAGGTGATGGAAGACACACTCAGCTATCTACTAGGAAGGTATGATGCTTGTGTGTATAATATAAATATTGTTAAAAGAACTTGCTACTGACACTAATCAATGTTATTAATGAAGCCTTTATGTAAAATCATGACACTTCATTAGGCTGTTCCTTTTTATAGAGCAAAGTAAGAACTATATTTATTTACTAAATATTAAACCACTAACTTTAAACTAAATTCCTTTCCCACCTCTTAAAAGAAAGAAAAGGCCAATTCATCTGAGCTTTGATGTGGATGGACTGGACCCATCTGTCACACCAGCTACTGGCACACCAGTCCCCGGAGGTCTGACTTACAGAGAAGGTCTCTACATTACAGAAGAAATTTACAAAACAGGTAGGTATATATCTGAGTGAATAAAGAAGCAGATATACAGCTAAACATGGCCAATATGTATTAATACTCCCTGATCTGAAAATCAAGCCCCAGTTGACACTTCCAGAATACCCATCACATGATGTAAGAGCTGAAGTGGTTTCAGTGGGTCATCCCCTCTTTGAACTCCTGAGTAATATTTCAAAGTCATTGAATTTAAAATGTCAACTATTTAACAAATTAACTTATTTCCATTTGTTATAGGACTACTATCAGGATTAGATATAATGGAAGTGAACCCATCTCTGGGGAAGACACCCGAAGAAGTAACTCGAACAGTCAACACAGCAGTAGCAGTAACCTTGGCTTGTTTCGGTGTTGCCCGGGAGGGTAATCATAAGCCTATTGACTACCTTAACCCACCTAAGTAACTGTGGAAACATTATATATAAAACTCTCAGCTAATAACAGAATTACCAAATCTAATCATTTACTTAAGGTTATAGTTATCCTCTTATAGATTTGGTATTTCAGAAAACTGTTTTGCCTTAGGAAATAGTAGTACAATTAGTAACTGTATCAATTCCCTCTTGGTGTAAAAGATTTGGAAATTCAAATTTTTGTCAACTTACAAAGCTTATATTTTGACAAAAGACATAGAAATATACATTAACTTCCAAATAAAAATTTGCTGGCATAAAAAATAAACACACTCTCACAAGAAAGTGGCAAGGAATATTCAAAGTGATGAAAAACAAGGACCTATGACCAAAATTACTCCACCTAGCAAAGCTGTCATTTAGAATCAAAGGACAGATAAAGAGCTTCCCAGGCAAGAAAAAGCCAAAGGAGTTCATCACCACCAAACCAGTGTTACATAAAATGTTAAAGGGTCTTCTTTAAGAAGGAAAAAAGATAAAAAATATGAACAATAAATACATATCTATCAACAATCCAATCTAAAAAGCACAATAAACTAACAAGCAGAAACAGACTCAAAGATACAGAGAACATTTTGACGGTTGCCAGACAGGAGGAGTGTTGGGGGGATGGGTGAAAAAAAGTGAAGGGGTTGAGGAGCATAACCTGGTTGTCACAGAAAAGTCATGGGAATGTAAAGTAGAGCATAGGGAATAATCTAGTCAATAGCATTCTAGTAACTATGTACGGTGTCATGGATACAGGATTTATCAGGACATTCACTTAGTAAGTTATATAATGTCAAATCACTGGGGTGTTCACCTGAAAGTAATATAATACTGTATGTCAACTGTAATTGAAAAATAAAAAATGATTAAATGTTAGAGCTTCTACCTTCTGATTTTTCATATGCAGCCCAGAATTTCAAACCTAACCATTGACGTATGGACTTTGTAAATAAGTATTTTACTGTATTACTTTTAGAAAAGAGCAATTAGCCTGGATCTTGCTTTAATGTATATTGTCCAATACAGTAGCCACATGTAGTTATTCAAAGCTTAATAAAATTTTAAATTCAGTCCCACATTTCAAGTGCTCAAGAGGCACATGCAGTTACTAACCACTGTCTGGAACAGCACAGACACAGAGTATTTCCACTGCCACAGAGAGTCCTCGGGAACAGAGCCGCTTTAAAGTTACTAGTAAAAAAACAACAAAGCAAACAAAAAGCTTTTAGGATGTAATGAATATAAAAGCATTTTTGCCCCTCAGGTGCATTATAAACCCAAGTAAAACTTCTGCTTCTGCCTTCTATTAATGTCTCTGATTAATAATTCTTTAAAGAGTCCATTTGGGGAAAATCATATTCCCATTTTTTAAGCTAGAGAAGAAGAAATTGAGTTTTTAATAAATGAATTGAAATGTATAGATCCTTGAGAAAATTATATTGATCTTTTACTTCCTTCACGCCATTTGTGTAATACCAGTGTCATAATTATTCCCATTCTAGGATCTCAAAGCAATATATTCCTCAAGGTAGCAAGACTGTATTGAGACTATGTTAAGAGAAGCACTTGAATTCATGTCTAGCATAAAATCCCTCGAGAATTTTAACAATATTAGCCTGGAAAATTACTTACACCATTATATAAATATTAAGCAGGACTTGCATGGCAAATAAAGGTTTAGTGAGTACAGTAATATGAACCACGAAGAAGGGTCTAGAAAGATGTATTTGGAAATAAAATTTGAAGTATTGTTGATTAAACTTTAATAAATCTTTTTTTAAAAAATCAGGACCCTTAATTCTAGGTCAATGTCAGCCACCAGCTGTACTGTACAGCCCATGTGCTTTGTAGCCCAGCTCTGTTTTAACCAGCCAGCCCCCTGCCTGGTACACAGCAGACGCTCATTCACACAGAATAGTCAGTCAGACAGTTTATTCATTTAACAGATTTTACTAATTACTTTGAAATCTTTTACAATCTTAAGGCAATTTCCCCCCAGAATTGACATTAAGTTCCTCAAAATTTAATAAACCTTGAACAAAATTGTACACTGCATTTAAAAAATAAATATTTAAAAATGTTAAGATTAGAAAAATGCAAAGAATCACATCATCTGCCAGGTGAGTGTCAACCTGGAAAAGCAATTAATGTATTTTTAAAAACAGAGATTGAAGAATCACCATTTAAGCATGAATTATTAAGTTTATGCATTTCTAGCTATGCTATTTACTTACATTGCTTCCAACTCATTTCCTACAGTTAAGTTCAAGTCCACAGCAAAGGCATAAATTTGCTAATCTACCTCAATTAGGAACATTAGCTCATTTACTTGGAAATCTATGATAAAAATTTTAAGCCATTTAAAAAGAATATGAAACTGTGTTTACTCCTGCAATGCAATGAAATCCTTAGTTCTTTACATGACAAAAATCTCTTATATCAAAGACAGACAAAATAGATTTACGTATAAAAGGGTATATAATAACTGTTCTACATGTGTGGTGCCTTTAAAACAATGTATTTGAAGGCTGAATGACATTAATAAAAAATATAAAAACAAAACCCATGGCTAGAATAAGAAAGACTGAGAGTTATCTAATAAAATCTTGATCACAGATACCTTGATGTTCCTAGGCAGCTCTAATAAACAGTTATGGACACCAACAATGTCTAGTTTACTCGATCTCTTAGAGACGTAAGTATAGACAGGGAGATGGGAGTTACAAGGTGTCAACAGATTCACTATTTGAATCAAAATATTGGGTTGGCCAGAAAGTTGCCATGGTTTTTTCCATAAAATAAAAGACAATTTTCATTTTCACTAATAACTTTATTGATCTGGATATTTTGAGTTATGTCAGCTATCTCCCATATGGTATAGCATTGATATTTCTCAATTAATGTCTCAATTTGATTGCTATCAATTTCAACTGGTCTATCTAACTGTGGAGCATAGTCCAGCAAGAAATCTCCAGCACATAACTTCGCAAACCACTTTTGACATGTTTGATCAGTCACAGCACCTTCTCCAAACACTACACAAACCTTTTTTTGCATTGTTGTGTTTGTACCTTTCTTTAAATAATAAAGCATAATAGGCTGAAAATGTTGTGTATTTTCCTCCATCTTCCGTATTAAAATGGCTACACAAAATTTCACTAATTTTGATAAATTTTTTGTAAATGCACGCTGAGACGACAGCTGTCACAATACAATCTAACAAAATTGTTTTGAATGAAGTTAAAGACAACTAAGACATATTAGAGCCATCTAATGGAAAAAACCAAATGGACTTTTGGGCCAACCAAATGAAATAATCTGAACGTCACTGCTTCTACTATATCACTGTGTAGCATGACCATGTTCAGATTTAATAGACTTGAGTCCACTTTCCAAGACGATGTGTTTCCATTTCACCACAGTACCGCCTGATCTCACTGAGTCACTGGTAAAGACACTGGCACCTGATTAGACTGAGGTGCTGGAGACCCACTATTTATGGCTTGTGGGGGTACTGTGGCTGGTTCCATCTTGCTAATGTGTGTGATAAATCGAAGACGAAGTTTTAAAGCTGGTTTTAAATTACAGATGATCTTCTCTACCTAAAAAATGAAAACACATGAAAAAATATTTCAACCAGAGAACTTTAATTTCCCACTTTTTAAAGTGATTTATACATATCCTGAGACAATAAACTAGGGATCAGGGTGGATGAGAAGTTTATCTATATGTTTTGTGTTTTAACAAAAGCAGATACAATTATTTCTTTCTCACATAAGAAAAATGTGTTCTCCCTCACATACATTCTACATGTGTATATGTGGGCATATGCATATATCTATGTATATGTGCATATATTTACAAGAACATATACACTTAGCTAGCCAGTAATTCCACTGTCAAAAGTTAGTATAGTTTACACTGGAAATTTTACACATGCAACAGGTGATCATCCTTTTAAAATGCCGTCTTCACAGAAGCATGAAGCACAATTATATTTGGAAGTTCTTTGAGTAACATATGTCTGTAACATGTATCTACAAAGCTAATTTCTTTTGGTTCTGATTTATATTTGGAATTCAAACTAAATAATATCAGATCTACTCTTACTTGAGATACTTTAAAGAAATAAATACATCAAGCAGTTTCGGTTTTCTTCGCTTTACTCAAATGCTTTTTGGCCTTCTCAGGAAAGGTCCCCCCATTAATAATTTTTCCTTTCAGCAATGACTATGTGTCAAAGTGCTGTAGGCCCAACTATAAGGGATATGTTAAAGAAAACATGCCTATGTTGGTTCCCACTCAACTTTCCTTGACAATCCATCTGAAAATGGAGTCAACATCCTCCCCTCCCCATGTCCACGGCTGCAAGGAAAGGATCCTGTGGACTAGGGTTCCTATGTTTTTTATATCAGTTTATCTCTCTTTCCCATTAGAAAAGGAAATAACATTAAGTATGGAGGAGAGGCTATTTAATGTCTCCACTCTTCTGAAATGGCCAAGATTGTTTCCTACAGACAGGAAGCTCAATTATGGCTCAAGGAGGTCCTGTCTGCTTTCAGACAGTTGTAACAGGAAGTGGATCTTTGTATGCTGAGTCAGAATGTGCTTCCCTTTAACTTCACCAGAGTTTATATGCCCTTTGACATGACACAGAACAGATCTAATACCTAATGCAAATGGCAACCCTCCACATAGTGAGGACACAGACAATTCCCTAAGGATTCTTAAAATTCAAGTCAAGCATTCCCAGTTCCTTCAACTATTCTTCATGAAATTGCTCTCTGGGCTCTCCTGGCTTCAGTGTTCTAGTGGTGCCGCAATTTGTCTACAGTTCCATGATGTACCCTGATCGCTGTGGGGAGAAGTAGGGCCTCCTTCCCTCGTAACACAGCACCTATCTGGCTTTTCAGTAGCCACACCAAACTGTTTCTTCCTATTCAGGTTACTGTTAATTAACCCCCCCATGTCTTTTTCAGATGTCCTGTTGCAAATATCAAGGGGAAAATGTGGGAAGTTATAACATGTATTTACTTTTACTTTGATACTATATCCAGAATAATATGCTCATGTAGTGTAAAGGGGTCTGATATCAACGTTTTTCCCTTAAAAAAAAAAACACATTAAAACCACTCACCAAAACAAAAAAATTTTATTACCATATGGTCAAATTTTCTCAACTAAACATATTAAAAATAATGAAAGTTAACTTACTTGCTCTTTTATGCTGTCACCAGTAAACATATACTTCATATGATACAGGAAGTCACAGATGGGATCCATGTAATTTAAGTGGGCGCTACACTGGTCTACATTCAGCAACATGTCGTAAAATGCCACACCAATCTATTTAACAAATAATATAAAATTATTCAAATGTTCAAAAATGGTTTAATGACTCGGCAGGATGCAGTTGGGTTCCATCCCAAGACTAGCACAGAGGGATAACATGTTTGTAGAAGAACTGTCCCTGACCATGCAAACCTCTGTGTGCATGGGAGATCGGACAGGGCCTGCGGCACGGGAGAATCCACAGCGCCACAGAAAGCCCCCAACGGGGCTTCAAGGTGATTGCTCTTTATAGTTCAGTAATTTCTCTTAAAATTAAGAGGCAGACGACCCCCTTTCAGGAAACCATTTCTCAATTTATGGGATAATCGCAGTCTCAGGGATCCTTTACATTATACCCTCTTAGTTCTATTTGGTGGCTCATATGTTAAGGTTCTATTCCTGCCTCATTTTCTTTCCTCTGCACTCGTGTTATAGGTGATTGACTTCATCCAGTTCCACGATTTTAATTAATTTCTCTGTACTATAGTGCAGGTTCTCAAATGCATTTCTCCATCCTTAAATTTCTTCTCAACCTCGATGATGAGTACTTCCTCCTGCATCTCCAGGTCAACACATCCCACACCAAACTCATTATGGGTATGTATATTAAGTCACTAAGTCCTCTAAAATCGCTCTTTGATCCTATTACAGACTTCACCACTGATTATGATATGAAGTTTGAAAAACACTGGGAAAGAAACCTAAATAGATTTTTTAGAACCTAAAGTTATCACAGAAAACCTAGATTATATTTTACCTCTATCATACATCGAGTTCTCTCTTGTTGAAATCTTTGTAAAAATGGTCCCACAAGATGGTACACATAAAGCAACTGGAATTCAGTCTTTACTATAGGAAGAAGTACTTCAGTGAGAAACCTAAAATTTGAAGATAACATTTCATGTGATTCGAAATCAGTTTAATTGTTTGACTTTTGTTAATACAGCCTATCCCAGTATTCGCAAAACTTATAATAATTTTTTTAAAAATTTCTTTTAATTTTGGTAACATTTTAAATTAACCTCACATCTCTCAAATCTTTATCCCAAAGATTTATTTTCATTTGATTATTAAAATAAATTGAGATTTAAAATCATTCTTAAAAATAAAATTACTGAATGACAGAGCTGAATAATCAATCTAATATAAATGTCATGCTCTAGAAATTTGAATCTAATTAATACCAATTTTATAGTCAAAGTAAAGAATCAGAAAATAGCCTAAATAGCAGTTATACAGTTCAGAAGGCAACTTTTGGAATACAGTCTGGAAAAAGCCTCTTTAAAATGTAATGGAAAACTAGTTACCAAATTATTATTGCACAAATTACATTTTTTCAAATAATTCTGGAATAAAAGAGCCTTTTTTTGATTATCTACAAACACTGCTTAACTCTTACTTTGCAAGTCGTTCTACTGAAGGAGATATATATCTTATATATAAATTAGGTTATAAAACAAAACAAAAACAAAATGAAAAAAAAAGCCAAATTTCTTTAAGAAATCATAATACCTACTTGGGAATGAGAGAAAGCTGCCCGATGCTGGAATGGTGCCACACAGCATGTGCTAGAGCTAATGTATAGCTACAGCTCATCTCAGAGTAGGACTGATGACAAGCAGTGAAGTCAAACAGGCGGAATGGATAGCCGACCCACTCTGTTTCAGACGTCAGGCTGGGGCTGCTGATAACACTCACAATTTGATCGTGAAGGACAATCCAATATGGCTCCTTGAAAACCAGAGGACAGCCTGACGAAAAATATCACTTACCCAGTATTCCACCCCATATTCATTATCACACTCCCACGTCTAAAATAATAGCTCTTTCTCATTCTTTAATGTTTTCTACTTATCCAGCTTGTGTCTTTGTGTAATAGGGATTTTAAAATCAAAACTGGGTGGCTTCATAATGAATCATTAACAACCTGAAGAGAAATGCTTGTGAGTCAGAGGGCTCCATACACACGCCTGTCCTGTTCATTTAGTACCTGATACATACTACACAGTGAACCCACTTTAACAATATTTACTACAGACAATACCAATACGCATATAAAAGTGTATATATATATATATATATATATATATATATATATATATATAGTGCGGAAGGAAAAAGTGACTCATAGAGGTGCATACTCAAAGAAGTCTGGAGAGCACAGTTTTAGACAATATTATTGACATTCAAAGATACAACAGACAACTATGTGGTGTTGACTAGACGCATGTGGAGGTCACAGAAGGGAGACTTCAGATGAGTGGCGAAGTCAGGGAAGGGTTCCTGAAGAAGCAGGTCTAAGCAGGCAAAGAGTGAGTAGCTTTAGGGAAGCTGACAGAGGAAGAAGTGTTCTGGCATAACGTCTTATTCCCTAACATATCAGAGGTACCAGAAACATGTCTCAATGAGCATTATTTGCATGAAAAAAGACTCTAGATATATAACATGCTAAATGGTCAAAACTAGATCAAATTTTAACTTAAAAACTAAGGTTGGGTGAATAAGGTGGGACCAATGGATGTAGAGACCCAAAAGTCAGGGAGATTTAATTAGGTTTGATGCAGAAGGCAAACAGAACAGTCACTGTAGATTTTTGAAGCACTAATAATATGAAAACTTTAAAAATATGAAACACTTCATTAACTTTATGAAGTCCAGTGTAAAGGCATCCTATTCTTTCGGCTGACAGGCAACACCGCATTCCATTGCTAGGTACAAATCATAGTTTAACTCACTGGTAGAGCAGTGATGATCAATCCAATTGCATTCATCCATGCTGTAATGTTCTCTCTTGGTACTAAAGGCTGGCTACAAGTTGGAAAAAGAATAAAAATGTAAAATTATAAAACATTTCATATGGTTGGCAATGGATCTTATTTTGAGAACATATATAATTTGGGGGCTTACAAGTGACCTAATCCAATAAATCTATAGTAGATTTCTATTGAATAAAAATTTAATATACAGAAACGAAAGCAACATAAAGCTTTTGTTTTGAGTTGTTTCCTTTAACAAATGGGCTGAAAGACTATTTTCATTTATTTATACTTCTCTAGTCATTATCCCCTATTTTATGTTGGTCTTTAAAGAAAGGACTCTTGACTTTTTTTTTCCCGAGAAGTTAACATTATTCCTAAATCAAATGCCAAACAACTAATAGAGAATAGAAGATGGAACAAACCCAGGTATTCTGACACTGTCCAGAGCTCATTCCACTACACATATATTATAAGGTTAAGATCTGGAACCAAATGACAGTTACTAGCCAATGCGCATCGGCCTTGGAACAACAGATTTGTCTAAAAGCTCCAAATGAAATATTATTCCCTTTACAAATAAGCAATAATCTTATTTCATACGACAGGATACACACCTTTTCAGCACAACATTTAGAAGAGCATTTCCAACTTCTTTGCCTGAAACAGCTAAGGCCATGAGTTCCACACAAGTAACATGCAGAGCATGGGCAGCTGGGTTGGGAAACTCATTGAATCTCCAGTCACAGTTTGGAAATGGACCAGGAGATTTGCCAGCCATCGGTGCAAATGATTAAAGCAATAACTATTTGATTATTTTGAGATCAATGGTTCACATTTGTATGGTGCTTTATAGTTTTCAATGTTTCACATGTAAACATGTCATTAGATTATCAATTTATCTGATTATGAACCCCCAAGAAGTGATTTATCCAAGAGATCAGAAGGCAGATAATACAAACCAAACACAAATAAGCTTCACATGACAAATGTATTAATTGCAACGATGTGATCAACCGTAAGGTATAAAACGTCAATCTTATACAGGTGGGCTTTTATAACTGACGTGATAGCTACAGATGCAACCAAAGTGTGACTATAACTCTCAACCTATTTCTTTTAATTGTTATAGGACAGTTAAAAAGAAAGTTACTTCATAATAAGTAATTCTTTTATGTCAGGAAATAAATTCCTTGTGTAGGAAAATAAATTGTGTCCATTTATATACAATTTCTCTACCTAGTAAAGGGTAGCATGGTATATTGACATATTAAGTACAGCGTGCTGATAACTTAAAACACGAAATCAAAATGAAGAAATAAAAATACCAATATAGCAGCTTTTTAACTAAAAAAGAGAGAAAATAAGTTTTATTATTATTTAGTAACATTTTTAAAACATTCAGTCATTAAAGCAACAAAATTCTATGTTCACCAGTAGCAAACAGATACATGTACTATAATACATAGTTCATTTATTTAGAAATAGGATTGTGTTCTTTGAAACAAATCTTATAATATCTGTTTTTAAATATAAATTTTAATGGAATGAATTTCTGCCTATCTGGCACAATACTGGTAATTTAAGATTTCAAAACCTTTACAGAAGTAAAACTAAAAATGACCTTTAAGAAACTTGAAGTCTTAGAATATATAAAATAATTACCTTGAAAAGACAATACACCTATGTTCTCACAAATAATACATACAGTTATTTCTAAAAATTCTGTAAAGATCACAATAAAAAGGATATTATCTACTAGTCTGCCAATCAATCTGCAATAGTAGGTGTCATCTGGGACCCAAGGATTGTCTTCTCGTGCGTTCATAGCACATTTCAGGTAAGTGTCACTTAGACACCAACCCTGCGGTCGATTATCCTTGAGTGAGCCAATGATCGCATGGACAAGTTTTCGTTTGAGAAATGTGCGATCTCTCAGGTGCTTTTCATAATAGTGCAGAGTATTATACAAATAAGTCACTGGACGATCTGCCAAGAAAACAGATCACCACAATGCTTATCTGGTTACTGACAACTATGAAAAACTAATGCTCTATTTTCTAGATTACTAAAAAAGAGCTCAGAAGATTATGAAACTATTTTACATGCTGGGTAATTGCAGACAATGAATATTTTAATTTTAGGACGAGGCAGAAGACTTCCAATAATATACACATCTTGTATTTAAGGGTATTCATTACATTCTGAGGTAGTGATTTCACTCCTCACTCCTGCAAAAATGACATGTACAAGGACATTCCTTGCTAGGTGACAGGAATGGGGCATTTTACTGCATATGCTTCTGTACCGTGTGCATATATCACCTAATCCAAACGAAAAATGTTTTCAAAGGAATGCTCACTTGAACTTCATACCTATTCTGTAATGCTAAAAGACAATTCAAGCTTCTGCACTGGAGGAAAACACTTTAGTTTAAAGACCAAAAAAGAACTGTTTCCTCCCCCTGACCACAGAAAAATATACTTTGTCCCCAGAGTGGCTGTTCTGGGACATTCATGCTTTTGTCACTGACTCTACCATTTTCCACACTAGGTTTAAAACTTTAAAATTGTCTTTAATTTCTTTCTTTTGATATTCTCCCCATGACCAGCCAACCAAGTCCTATTCCTCTTTCTCCTTTGACTATCTGTCCCTTCTTTCTCATTTCCAATGCCATCATACATGTTTAGATACTATTCACACACCTGAACTTATTGACATAAGCTGTTAAAATGGCTTTCCCTTCCAAGGCATGCTGCCAACTACAAAAGGATTTATCTAAAATAAATATTTTCCACTTATGCTTTCCATGTCATTACCTTACTCAATAACTTCTAGTTTATTATTGATTATTTGCAAGTTATAAAATCAAAACTGCTCATTCAGGCCTTTAAGGTGATCTGTCAGTACAATATATGAATTTTCAATTTAACCCACTGAGGTGACTGTTTTGAAAATGCCTTGTTTTTAATACCCTCATGAGTTTTTCAAAGGATTCTTTCTGCCTAGTACGTTTTTTTCTTCTGTTTATACAAATCACATATACCACAGTTAAAATCCTATCCATCCAAGAAGCCTGCCAAGATCCAATTTGTTCACAGGTAACATCAGTCTATTGTGGACACATAATTTTCCCCTTCTATACTCATTTGGCAATTAATCATACACTATGTAAAATAAAGCATCTCTTGCATATCATTCTTCTTTTTCTGCTATTTAATACATTTGCTATGCTTACCTATTCATATTTATATGTCATCTGTTTTATATTTCATAGTATCAATGTATGGCACGCACCCTCAAAACACTTTTATTTTAAAAAAATTAAAATCTTTAGAACCACTATTACCTGAATAATCATGCTCAGCCCACTTTTGTTTATAGAGCTATTAAATGGGAATAAAATTTGAAAAATCTCACCATGAAATTTATATAACCCCCCTAGGTGATCTAGTAGAGTCTCCAGTGACTTGGATACTGGCAGCAACTCTAAAAATCTGTGGATGACTATATCAAACACTGGAAGGAACCGAAGACACACATTTCCAAAATAGATGGGCAGATAGGGGGACTGGATCTGCACAGGGGGGTCGACCTGCTCTGCCAGGCCCTCGAAATACAGCTTCTCTGGATATTTCTGTGGAAGTGAGGAAATGGTAAACGTTTAGGGTGTATTTTTTTTATCCTCTTAAAAAAAAGAGCTAAATAAACTTGCTGTTTTTAAAAGAACATGAAACTGTGTTTGTTCCTACAATGCAATGAAAACTAGAGTCCTTTATTTGGCAAAAATTTCTTATCCCAAAGATACATTAAAAAAAATCATGTATAAAAGGATTTGCAATAATTTTTTTCATTTTGTACTGTAAGTACCCATGTCTACAAAAACTGTAATTTTAACTTATTTATAACTTTAGAGATACCATAGAACCTTGAAAAGTTTAGAGACCAGAGAGAAAACAGCCATATCAATACCCAAATACCTAAGTATGGCTTAAAAAGGATTAACTGAAGTGCAAATATGAATTAGTACCTTGTGATAATTCATGTGCTTGGTGTGCCAATCATTCTGCAGCCAGTGCTCTGGGGAATTTTCCTTCACAAAGTCGCTTACTCGGTTTCTAAAATCATTTGGTTTGAGTAACAGCAACTGAATTATGAAATAACAAACCTGGGCTTCATTTCCTTCGTGACTACGCATGGCCTTTGAAGAACAACAGAGAAAGTCTATGAAAACACTCAACCTGTACAAAAACATGGCTCTGCCACTTGACAGTCTAAATTTAAATAAGTCTTATTATATCTCTAGTTTATCCTTTTTTTAAATTGATTTACAGATTTGCATCATTTACCCTAGTGGAGAGTAACCATCTTTTCTATCTATGCTCCACAGCTAAGAGATTAATGTTAACCAACTAAGTCACCTCCAATACCACCACTATAGTATTAAAAAATGCAGCATTGTCCACCCTGATCCATTATCTTTTTCTTCAATTTTTGCCTGAAATAGACACCAAAGTCAGGAGCAAAAACCATCTGGGGAATCCTGGGTGGCTCTGAGTCAGTTCAGTTGTGACTGTGGCTACCAAATTGTACAGAAATGGTATCAGCACTCTGCCAAGCAATGCAGTGACTTATTAACTTCTGATGCTGGTGGGAGACTTTGAGAATCAACTCAGGTCTAACTGCCTGTACTGTTAGATAATCACAAGGTCAGGTCATTTCTGTGCCATTTACTCTATACCTTCTGTGCATAGAACATAGTAGATATTCAATACATACTAATTAAATGAATGAATAAAGAAACTTGGAAATCTCTAGTTCTTTAGGGAAATGATATCAATGCTTGATTATAGTATAAATTTATCAAATCCTTAGAAGCAATATACAGCAGATAAGCACACGATCCATCAATCACACACCTTGATCCGAAAGAACACAGACAGCTTAGAAACTTATTAAGTAAGCATATTCTTACCAAGCAGAGAATTAGTCTGTCCAATGTAACAATGTTGTACTTCCACACCATGTCATTAAGAATTTCAATGCATTTGTTGAGCTGCTGACCCCCAGCGGATGTGGAGAACTCATATACCAGGAAATCCGCAAACGTTCTCACGTGGGCTACTAAGGCTCTGGCTCCAATTCTTTCTAACACTCTGGAAAGCAGAGAGTACAAATTGCTGCATGGTAAAACAGGCTGCCAAATGGATTGCAGATCTAGGTTTCTGGCTTACCTATAGCCAATCTGATTAATATGATCTGTTTCCAAGAGCATTTTCCAGAGGAGACAAAGAAAGAGAGGAGAGCCTTGATTAGAAAAGTGGGTAATGATGTTATTTTCATTGCTCATTGACTTCCACTTCCGATACTCCTCCTCCACATTTTTTTTCAGATTAAAACGACTTTCCTGAGGTACATTATTTTGCTTGAAGAATGCCTAAAAGGAAAATCAGAAGTTTATTTCAATGGTTGTAGTAAAAAGAGCACTGGCTATAGAGTCAAGAAATCTGTTCTAGACCTGACTCTGACACTCATAAACACTCAATGACCCCAAGCAACTCAGTAATCAAGGCCTAAATTTCTATATTGGGAAATGTGCAGGCTTGACTAGATTACTGTGAAGATTCCGTTCTTAGATTTCCTAAACAGAAATTCCAAGCAAGCCTGAATTCAAAGGTTCTTCAATCATCTGGTGATAATTCTGTTCCCCTTTAAAAAAAAGGAAAAAGAAAAAGAAATTTATGTGCCCTTTGGTTACATATTTTAGTATTTCTGTAAGGAAAATCCATCACACCGGCCCAGGGGTTCTCTGAGTGCGGTCCCCAGGCCGTCGGCACCGGCCGCAATTGGAATCCAGGCGATTGTAATGAGTTTGAGGACTACTGCTCTAGCCCCACTAGAAGTTACAGAAAACAGATGTTCATTATGCCTAAAATTTCCTCTGAAAAGTAGATGACAGGTAAGGTTTTCTTTCTCTATATTACAAAAGTCAAGTTTATTGTTTTCTCTCTGTGTGATTTTTTTAGAAATATACTCAAGTGTAGCATATATGTATTCTGTGAAGCTCCATTAAATTATATTTCTCTCCATTTCAGTTCTATAAGGATGAATTTTTCAGGTAATGTGTTCATTCTCACAAGAATTAACTAATAAAATGAAGCCATCATAATTAAAATTTTAGAAACATATAGTCCTAGAATAAAACAAGGAAAAACTCAACATTTTGGAATAGCAAAGATTTTTTTAAAAAAGCTAACTTTCTTTGGATGTCAACAGAACTAACTCTCTAGAATAACACTGTAAATGGGAAGAGTGATTTCATATATATTCAATATGTAATTCAAGACCAACTTACCTGTAGTGGGCCCGGAAAACAACTAAGAGTATGTGAAGCCCAATTATGAGGAGTAAAACTCATGATGGTCTGAAGTATGTCTTTACACCAAGTTCCCTGGATTGAATCTGAGCCTGTAAAAAAATCTAAACATAAACAAATAGATGTAAACCGCATAGAAATGATCATATCTACAATTCATCACAGAGAAAGCCACAAACAATTATGTACACTCAGAGAATCTCACTGTAGTGCATTTACTGCTTAACTAGTAATATTCAGCTTAGGACCTGAGTTTGAATGATATGAATTACCACATTGGTAACTATGAACATAACGAGTGAAAAGAAGACCAAAGACAACTGGTATCTTCTTAAGTTAGAGTATCAATGATATAACTTTTGTACAGGTCCACTATGATTGCTCATTTAGTTCATTCTGATAATGTGGTATTGGAACTCTTCTGCACCAAGAGAATAGAATTAAGAAAGTATCCTTTCTGGTCGTTGAAACAACTATAAACTACAAGTACCTCCCTAAATTAAAGAGATTTATTTATTTACACAAATGTAATTTAGATTATTAAATTCAATAAATATTTCTTTAAAATAGCAGTTCTCAAAGTGTGATCTATAGACTCTGTGGTCCCCAATATCCTTTCAAAAATCAAGTCAAAGCTATTAAAGTAGTATAGCTAAAATATCATTGGCCTTTGTACTGTATTGATATGTGCATTGATGGTGCAAAGGCAATATGGCTAAAGCTGTTGGCTCTCAGAACAAATCACTGGCACCAAACTATACCGATAGCCTCCTCACCACCAGACGTTCTCAGTGAAAAAAAAGTTCCAATTTCACTTAAGAATACCCTTAATGAAGTAGGTGATAAAATGCACTATACCTCAGGCCTTCAGTGTACCTATTTTTAATGTTCTGTGTGATAAAATGGAAGAATGCATAAAGTGTTCTAGCTATACACCAAAGTGTGAAGGGCATGTTCAGGAAAAGTACTTGTGTAATTGAGTGTTCAGTTAATTTAGCTTTTTTTTTTTGCATGTCAAATATGTATATTGTTCAGGGTCTGGTTTTATGTCAGGCTGCACACCTTTCATCAGTCCACGCTCTCTCACACCACGTCAAACTGGCCTCAGCTAGCAATACTTCATTAAATCCAGAAGATTGAAAAAAGAAAACAAAGCCTTAATTTTGAGGAAGAAAATCCCGTTCTTTTTTTTTTTTCTCATGGAATTCCAGTTTTACTTTAAAGAACATCTGACAGATAACTTGGGCATTAAGGAGACTTTTTTTTTTTTTTTTAAATTAACAATGGAAGCCTGTCACTTCCAGAAAAACAAATGACTGCATCTTTTACTGAAGATAACATTTGACCTTTCAAATGGAAATAAGAATTTTGGAAAACTCCTATCCACTGCCATGAAACTGACAGTTTTCCAAAACTTGAAGACTCTTCTGATGAAATTTGTAGTAAAATCAACACAAGTAATTTTATGATACTGTACAAGGAAATGTGTCAACATTTAGAAGATCTGCATAACCCAGTGAACCAATGTTTTTCAAGAAACCAATTCAAAAAGTTACAAAATCATCATGATTTAAAAAATCCATTAAAAGTACAAAATAGATCCATGGATTATAAGGTAACAGAGTGCAAAATACTCACTGACAAGATTTTGCATTCCACATGTCAACTAACTAATGTTTAAGAAACTTGTCCAATTTTGTGTGACATCGAAAAACACGCACAATCAGCTGAAAAGGCTATTAAAATACTCCTTTTCCAACCTCCATCTATGTGAGGCCATATTTTCTCCTCTTACTTCTACAAAAACCAAATATTGCAAAAGATAAAATACAGAAGCGAATATGAGAATCCAGCAATCTTCCTTTACATCGGCCATTAAAGAGATGCAAAAAATGTAAAACAATGGCACCTCTTCTGACTGAAGTTTTGTTTTTTGTTTTGGAGAAATTAGAGTTTATTTTTCATAAAATATGTAATTTATGTTAATATGTTTGGTTTGTTATTGTTACTTTAAATCAAATAAATATTTTAAAAATGTATATTTTAATATATCATAAAGTAAGTATCAATAGATATAATCCATGTAAACAGAAAATCTTCGGGAATTTCAAATTGTTTTTTTCACATTTTGTATGAAATGTCCAGAATAGGCAAATACCTGGAGACAAAGTAGGTTAGTGTTTCTCTAGAACTGGGAGGAGGGAAAGAATGGGAAATGACTACTAAGGGGTATGCAGGTCTTTTGAGGGTGATGAAAATGTTCTGAAATTAGATAATGGTGATAACTACATAACCCTGTAACTACAATAAAACTGAATTTTACACTTTAAAAGGGTGAATTTTGCCTTCGCTGGTGTGACTCAGTGGACTGAGCCTCAGCCTATGAACCGAACGGTTGCTGGTTCGATGCCTGTTCAGGGCACACGTCTGGGTTGTGGGCCAGGTCCCCAGTGAGGGGCGTGCACGAGGCAACCAGTCGATGTTTCTTTCACATATTGACGTTTCTCTCCTTCTCTTTGTCTCTCTCTTATCCTCTCTCTAAAAATAAATAAATCTTCACAAGAGTGAATTTTATGGTATGTACATTGTATGTAAAGAGAGAGCGAGAGAGACAGCTGTGGCATACTCACTGCTCTTACACTAAAACCCCAATTTTAAAGGCCTACAAGGCCCTTGTGACCTGGTCCCTGCTGCTTCTCCTAAACTGACAAGTAAAATGTACAGTGCCAGATGGTGATAGGTTCTATGAAGAAACAACAACAAAAAAAGGCAGAGCAAGGGATGAAAGAGTTCTGGTGGTAGGGGATTTGCTATGGAAATAAAGTGGTTCAGGAAAGGTCCTCCCGGGTGAAGGTGACCATAGTCAGAGGCCTGAGGGAGGCAAGGGAGTGAGCAACACAAGATGTAGCAAAGTTAGGGTTACAGTTGTGAGCACCTGAAGCAGAGTTGATTCTTGTGTTGTCATTGATTAATTATGGTATTATTTTACATATGAACAACTGTAAATCCACATTTGCTCCACCCTGTATTAATATTTAACTGCTTGATCTGCACTTTGCTGGCTCTCCTCCAGACAAATGAGCCTCCTCTCTGAACCACCGTGCTCGGTTGTTCCTCTGGGTCTTCACCTGGGTCCCATCTACTTGAAACGTCCCACTCCCAGCCCCTCAGTTATTTTTTTATTAAGAGTGTAAAGCGCGGTCCTGAGACCAAAAAGCTCAAGAACCACTATTGAAAAATGGCTGAAAACTGATGTTCAACTTAGTTAAAGTGACACTGCACAGAAGAAGCTACATTAATGACTGAAACGGTGAAGCTATCAGAACAACTGTTTTTTTCTCGAGCAAGTGGAAAGCATTTTTTCAATACGCTATCCCCCTGATAATCAGTAGAGGCCTAGCACGCTAATTCAGCTGTTTTTGTTAGTGGTGGTGGATTCACTGTACCTGTTACGTGAGTTGCTCTGGCTAATGTCAATATCAAGGCTCGGTTCAGTTCTTCAGATTCCGCAGACAGCACTGTTTTGGGATCACTAAGGAAGCGTGTAAACTGTGGCTGTACCTCGGAGCTACCTAATGCTGTTATAAGCCTAAGTGCAGTGCTCTCAACACTGAAAGGTGGGAGAACAAAAAGAAGCATGAAAAAGGTAACTTGCTTATAGATTTCAGAATTACAGAATTAAATCTAGCTCTAGGTTAATTACAATGGGAAAACACAAAACTATGAATTTTCCTTCTTTGATTAAAAACAAACAAACAAACAAACAAACAAACTTCTGTGTGAGATGAGCTTTGCTTAAATTCTTTTTAAAACCTGAGCTGGCAAATTTTGTAGTGAAAACCACCTGACATGTTTGCACATTTGAAAAGATAGCTTATCACCCGTAGGACTAAAAAAATTCATCTATGATAAACAGCATTTCAAAAATTACATTATTTTTATTTGTATTTTTACTTAGAGCAAAATCAAAATGACATTATTGATACTTTGACAACAGTCTGAAGTATCTTTAAACCCGACAGTTTAAAGGGTTAAGTTAGCTCTGGCCAGATAGCTCAGTTGGTTAGAGCATCATCCTGATATACCAAGCTTGTGGGTTTGATTCCCAATTAGGGCACATACAAGAAAACTATAAATAAAAATTTTAGCCCTGGCTGGTGTGGCTCAGTGGACTGAGCGCCAGTCTGTGAACCAAAAGGTTTCTGGTTCAATTCCCAATCAGGGCACATGCCTGCATTGCTGGCCAGGTCCCCAGTAGGGGGAGTGTGAGAGGTATCTCTCACACATCAATGTGAGAGATCGATCGATGTGTCTGTCAGACATCAATGTTTCTCCCTCTCTTCTCCTTTCTCTGAAAGTAAATTAATAAAATCTTTAAAAAAAAATTTTAAAGGGCCAAGTTAGACCATAATGTCAAAGGCCTTGGAAGTACTTATTCTCAGTCCAAAGATTCCAAAGCAAGGACTCAACTACCTTAATAAACTTTGGTTTAAAAAGTTAGACTCCATTCTATACTGGAAATAATATACCCCAGAAGCAAAGGAGTTTTTTTGACAAGTGAGTACAAATATTATAAGGCAAAGGTTTAAGTTCCCATCTCCAACAAAGTTTCTTATAAATCTTAAAGACAGTTTCCAATGAGCTCACCAGAGATGGAGCTGGTTCTGGTTTGTCTGGGCAACTGCAGCCAAAGTATGGAGATGACTCAAGAGTTGAACTCTGTAATGAGGCTGAATGTGGTGCATCCGGTAGCTGAACATCTCAAGGAGTGTGTGTAAGATCCCCCAGGCGTGAGACTTGAAAACAGTTGGCAAAAGCTGACCTTGAGGAATAAGGTAATTTAAGACACCAATTGGTAAAAGCTGTGCACTGAAAGGCGTTTAAAGAAAAGTCACACTGAATAAAATCTATGCAAAGGTTTGATTGTGAACACACACACAGAGAACCACACATATGTACGCATATTTCCCAAATTTTCCCTATAATTTCCACTTTAATTGTAAGAAAGAAAATCAAGATCATAATTATAATACCAAGTTTGCTTCCCCCCATCCTGAAACTTGACAACTGATCTTCAAGTTCATATGGACAAATAAGAGACAAGATATGAAAAAAGTTATTCTAATCTTTCTCACTTCTCAGTTATTTTTTAAATTCTTTTTATGAAGTTAATGTTCCCAATGTTTTGAAGCAAGGGGATCACTTTTTAACACAGGAATTGCATCACGTGTGCTCTTATTACTTTCCCCCTCCCAAAAAATTTTATTCAGCTCTCAATAATCAGATAAGAATAGGAACTATGGTTAAAAATAAAATTATATTGTATTGGTGAAAAGTTAGAATTATTATGCATTAGAAAAACGCTTCCATTTAAGAAAGTATTTATTATTCAGAACCGCATAATAACTAACAGACATTATCAGCTCCCATCTGCCATGCAGGAAAACTCCTTGCATACTTCCAGTCAGCTTTAGTACTCACTGCTGAGCCAGAGGCAAACAGGCAAAGAGGCAAATAGGACCATGACTCTTGCATTAAGACAATGACTATGTCTGTCCTGCTCCCTGCATCCCAAACACAATACCCTTTTCTTACCATAACTTTACATAAAAATGCAACTCACGCCCCTGACACTATCCCTCTTTTTAATTTTATTTTTCTCTGTAAGATTTGTCCCCTGACACATTGCAATTTCATTTATTTACTTTTTTGTCTGTCTCCCTCATTAGCAGGTGACTCTGTGGTGGCAGTGACTTCTGTACACTGCTGCATCCCCAGCACCTAGAAGAGTACTTGTTGAATTAATGAATGGGTTACTGGCTATAAACACCCGAAGGTCCTGGCTTACTGATGAATCCTTTGATGCCCAAAGACTCTATTTCCATATAGACCAATAAGCGACTGTACGTTTCCACGAGGGCTGGAGCCAAGGCCACACTGGACTTTGCATGAGCAAGTTTTATCACTCTGGTAGCAATGCTGTGGATAAGGCTGAGGAGAAACAAAAAGAAGGAAAATAAAAATCCCTTACTTTTGGCATAAATACAGGAGTTACTCTATTGTTATGAACTCAAACATATGAAAAGAATGTCCCACTTTAATCATGTAAGTTGTGCAGGACACTTGGTAGCAATGCAGAGTACAACCTGAGACCTACTCTGGTTTCCGTGGTACTTCCAATGTGCATTAGGATCCCTCTGCTCACGGAAAAGCAGAAACCGAGTATGTCTTGTTAAGAACATGCTTGAATAGTTCCAGCACATTTTTCTTTTTCAAATGTGTAACTAAAAAACCATTTAAGAAATTTAACTTTTGTTACAGAATTACTTAATAAACCAGGCTAAGACCCAAATGCTGGGTTCCACCCGGTCTTCCCTCAACTCCAACACACGTGCTGCTAAAGTACACGTGTAATTCTACCACGGTTTACCATCTGAAAAAGAGCATGGCTTCCCTAGAGCTTACGTCCCACCTAGAGGCCCAGAGATGAATGCTCTTTGACCTGCACAGTATTTGAAATTTGAGCCAATACTTAAGAGCCGAAAGACTAGAAATAAAAATCTGAATTTCTAGCCCTTCTCCAAAAAATGTACAAGAGCTCACCAGGCTGGCCTGCACTCTTACACTAGAGAAATTAGCTAAAGCAGCAGCAGTAAGATGGGCCCTGCAGGCCCCGGTCAGCGCGGCGCCCCCCATGCACAGGTGCTCCCACATGCACCAAGAGCCGGCTCGCCTTCACTCAGTGCCCGGCATCACTCCTCTGTTCTAGCAGTTTGGCCCTTGGAGACACTTGAAGTTTGAGAATCACACTCAACAGAATCTTTCTGTCTTTTAGAAACCATAATGCCAATTCTAAAAGTGCCCATTTTGTAATAAACACAGTTAAGGCATTGCAATGTTTGCATCCTTCGACACAGCAATTCTATATTCAGTGTATATTTAACAAAAATATAATTATGGATAGAGGCAAAGACAGCCATAACGATAGTCTTCATAACCATCTTTATAAACTAAGATAATGCAAATAACTTCAATGTCCAACAATGTGGAACTGGCTAAATAAATCATTTATAGCCAATGTTGGCCAGGTAGCTCAGCTGCCTAGAGCATCGTCCCAATACGCCAAGGTTGTGGGTTTGGTCCCTGGTCAGGGCACATACAAGAATCAACCAGTAAGTGCATAAATAAGTGGAACAACAAATTGATGGTTTTTTTCCTCTCTCTTTCTGTCTCTTTCCCTTCCTCCTTCTCTTAAAGAAATCAATAAATAAAAACTTTTTAAAAATCATTTATAGCCACACAAAAGACTTCTTTGTAGTGATTAAAACAATTGTTTTTGAAGAAAACTAAAACTAAAGAGGAGCCTGAGAGATTATTATGGGAAAAGATGGTTAAAAAACTGTATTGCCCTTAAGGGCCCATTTTGTTTCAAGAAGTCCATACAGCCATATTTATATATAGAATAAAAGACTCAGAATATATACAAAAATTTTTACAATCCATATTTCTCATGGAGGGATTATAGCAATTATTTCCTTTGGGTATATTTGTATATTCTAGAAATCCTATAATAAACAATTATCAATTTATAATGAAGGAAACTACTTGTAGAAGACTTTATTTATTTTTTTATTTTTAGAGGGAAAGGGAAAGAGGGAGAGAAACTTCAGTGCAAAAAACATTGATCAGCTGCCCCTCGCACGCTCCCCATTGGGGGCCAGCCTGCAACCTAGGCACGCACCCCAACTAGTGACCTCTTCGCTTTGCAGGCTGATGGCCAACCAACCAAGACACACTGGTCAGGGCAAACGAAACCTAATTATATTTTAAAAATGTACCTGACCATAAAACATACTTAATCATGATATCAACTCCATGACATAGGACCAAATAAATCGACCATACCTCATTTTGGCATGAACCGTCAGTGAATCCAGGAGGTTCATTGGTAAGGGAGTGATAGATGCTGAAGCCAAACAGCTTGTTCCAGGAAGAGGTATCCTCATAATTCCATTTCCATAAATAGTTTCTACCAGAGCTCCCATGGGTAACGTAAAACATTCTGAATTTGTAGAGTATGCATTACACAGCAGGGCAATCTTATAGTCATTCATCTGTAAACTTTTATTTCTAAGACTCTGCTGTAGGAACCTAAAATGTCAAGTCCCATTAAACAGGAAAAATGTAAACCATTTCCAGTAGTTAACCTGCATTTTTTTTAAAAAGTTTCATTTCATGCAACTATTTACTAATATTGTCTTTATTCCCACAGGTTTTATAGTTTCTGCCCAAAATATGGAGTAGAAACACATATAAAAGTGTAAGTAGCATTTCAGAAAGAGTTTAAGTAATTACAAGTTAACAATTAGTATTTTTAAGTATGTACTACATATACAGCACTAAGATTCAGAAATGAATAACTCACAAATTCATGAACAAGGTTTCTAATGTTTATTATATATCTGCTTAAGCACAACAATAGGCCTTCAATATATTGTAGATGTAACTATGAAAAGATGGGTAAGGGGTGTCTGATAAATGAAACATAGTTTGACTATTGTGCAGTCTCTTATGAAGTCCTTTCCAAAAGTTCTGGGTGGGAAGTTCAGATACTCCTAACACCTTTGACTGAAGCCCGGTCCTATCAAGGGAGGGCGCCTTTGGGTAACCACAGCCTAGAGAGTGATGTCAGGGAGCATGCCAGGCAGGACAGCCCCATCAACCCTGGCAGCCCGGGGAGTGAGAGACATGTCAGCCAGGTCATGCTCGAATCCCAAAAACTTAAGAAATTTTGAAACATTTTCACAGACTTTGGGTAATTTTTAGTAAAAATTAAAGTAAAACATATAAAAGCAAAGATTAGACCTGATTAAATATATATATGCACATATATATAGAAACAATTAATTTTCTCATTGTTCTCTGATGCAGATATTGGTCAGTTTCTCTTGGTATGACATGCATATTAAATATTCACGCTTACTTCCAGTGAGTGTGGGGAGATTTCTATTCTTTATACAAATACTAAGAATAATATTAGTCTATAATTCATGATTTATAAAATAAAAATTAACTGTTAAGCTACAAATACTTACTCATGGTGAAGGTTTAGGGAATGAGGTATTGGAATTTGTAGCTTGGAGTTGTCGTTTTGGGCTTTTCTATTAAGATGAATCCAAATGCAAGTCATTGCAAAGGCATGAGTTGACTGAGGTTTGTTAATATCAGGAACTGGAATACACTAAAAAATAATATCAGAAAGAGAAAAATTATCTAATTAAAGCTATTTAAGTAATCTACTTTTGATATAGCTGTTTTAAAAATATCCTGTACTAATTCTTAGCTCCAATAGGTCTTTGTTCAGTAATATAAATCAGAAGATATAACAGCTATAAAATATTGAAACTATTGCAAGATTGTTTTGATTTATCAAGAAAATAACAAATTCACAGGTGCTTAGTCAACCTTTTCCTTCTACAGAGCATTCACTACCATGAAAATATTTTTATTCTTTAAAAATTAAACACTATGAAGTCTTACTGAGGGGGAAGTGGGTATGAGGGGACTAAATGGTAATGGAAAAATACAATAAAAAATGAAAACAATTCTTATGGAATGTGATAAATATAATGAAAACACAAAATTTCTAAAAGTCACATATGGTTTTTTAAAAAGTTTTATTTACTTTTTCTTAGAGAGAAGGGAAGGTAAGATAAAGGAGAGGTAAAGCAACATTGATGTGAGAGTGAAACACTGATTGGTCGCCTCTTGTATGCACCCCAACCTCAGACTGAACCTGAAACCTAGGCATATTCCCTGACTGGGAATTGAACCAGCGACCTTTTGCTTTGCAGGATGATGCCCAACCAACAGAGCTACACTGGCCAGGGCATATATATACTTTTTTGAGAAAATAAAAGTTAAGGATTTGCTTTTAAAATGTCCAGCATTAACAAAAAAGATAAAAAGGAAAGATGAAACAAGAATATTTCTTGGCGATAGGTACATAGGAGCTTACTTTTGTATTCAATCTTAAAAATTTAAAGATTTCCACAAATTACCCTGGTCAGGTAGCTCATTTGGTTAGAGCGTCATCCTGATATGCCAAGGTTGCAGGTTTGATCCCTCGTCAGGGCACATATAAGAATCAACAAATGAATGCATAAATAAGTGAAACAACAAATTAATCTTTCTCTCTCTCTCTCTAAAAAATCAAAATAAAAATTTGAAAAAAATTATCATAAATATTTAAGGAAATGCAAATAAAAACCACAATGAGATACCACCTCACACCTGTTAGAATGGCTACTATAAAAAAATACAAGAAATAACAAGTGTTGGAGATAATGTGGAAAAAAGGAAACCCATGTGTACTATTGGTGAGATTGTAAATTGGTGCAGCCACTAATTTATTCAAGAACGGAACTACTATATGATCCGGTCATTTCACTTCTGGGTATTTATCTGAAGAATGTGAAAGCACTAATTGAAAAGGTATTTGAACCCCTATGTTCACTGCAGCATCATTCACAGTAGTCAAGACAGGGAAAAAAACCCTAAGTGCCCATCAATGTATGAATGAATAAAGAAGATTTGTACACATACACACACAATGGAATACTACTCACCTATAAAAAAAGAATGAAGTCTTGCTATTTGTGACACCATGAATGAACCTTGAGGGAACAATGCTAAATAAAATAAGGAGAAAGACAAATACTATATGGTCTCCCTCATGTGGAATCATAAAAAAGAAAAAATAAACAAAAAAAACCTCCCAAACCAAACAAAATAAAACAAAAACAAATTCATGTATAGAGAGAACAGATTGGTGGTTACCAGAAAGAGAAAGGGGTCTGGGGGTGGGTGAAACGAGTGAAGGGAGTCAGTTGTAAGGTGACGGATGGAAACTAAACTTTCAGGGGTGATAACTTTGTAGTGTACACAGATATTGAATTATACTGTTGTAAACCTAAAGCTTCCATAATTTAAAAAAAAGATGACCTGATACAAAACTGGAAAAAATTTCCATAATAAAATGTTTTTAAAAAACATTGGGAGGGGACACAATTGGCAAACAAACAAAAAAAGATATTCAGAGACACTAATGATATCTGCTTATTTAATGATGTGCAAGCTTAAAACAGCATAATGCTTTGTAAAACTGTGAATCTACTTAAAATGTAGAAAACAGTTTGCTATACTAAATGTTCAATTGTGGTTTAAGATAAACTTCATGAATAATTTATTTTAATTTCATTATATATGAGTAAACTTGTGACAAGAGAGGCCCAATTAATTGATGTCTATCCCACAATTGTGGTTAGTCACAGAATTGAGGGAAAAAACCAACATGGATTTCCAGGTCTTAAATCCAGTGCTTTTTTCACAAAATCACACTAAAATCCTTAAACATAAATTAGACATAATTCACTCGTCACATTGTTAACTACTCAGTAAAACTTACTTCTTTTTCTGGGTACAGAAGGTCAAAGAGTTTCATGACAGGGAGAAAATCAGCTAGTGCGTTTTTCTGAATACTTCCGGAAATGAATTGCAGGAGAACCCACATTAGATGATCTCTGCCTTTAATCAGTCCTCGCCCTGCTAACTGGAAAAGATGTTTAAACACACATTTACATGGCCAGTTCAAGAGATAGATGCAGTAAAGTTTAAAGATGAAAACAAAAAGGAGAAACTGTGCTTTCTGAGTGTTAGCATCTAACTTTGATATTTGCTAACTACTTAGTCTCTAAGTCAAGACACACCAGGAAAAGCCTTTTATGTTATTTCAATATATATTTTTCTTCCATGACCCCCACAACTATGCATATCAAAAACTTAATGTTTTTAAAGAAAAAAACAAAAGAAAATTAAGTGTTTTAGAACATAATTAAGTTGCTCATATGTGCATGAGAATCGAGTTTAATATGGGATAATTACTACCAATACCTCACCAAAACATGAGGAATGCTTATTAAACTCCCCAAAATTAATTTAAGATTCTCAAGATTCTCAGCCTGTTGGCTAAGCTCAAATATAATTTAAAATCCTTATGGGTTGGTTATCAAAAAACACTTTTTCTGGTTTCCTGTAGATTATAAAAGAAATCAATGGTGGTGGTGGTGGTGGTGGGGTGGTTGGGGGTAACTGGGGTTGAAAGAACTTTAGCAATTCTTCTGAAAAAAATTTCCCCAAATAATCCATGTTAGAGAGATGTTACAAATATAACACTTATTTTATTCCCAATGTGTCTGACACCTTATGACTGAAATCAACTCATCCCACAAACTTACTCTTCCAATGTTTTGCATTCATTTTCTTACCTTTCCATTCACTGCGAAAGTAGATACCAGTGAGTGATCCTAGACTCCTGTTACTCCCTCTGTTACCTACAGTCTCCAAGCTCTATTCAACTCGGCATGCCTGCTCTCTGGCTTCTCCTCCCTCTCTTGGTTCAGGCCTTCTGCGTCTCTCACCCAGACCACTGCAATAGCTCCTCGAGTAATTTCCTTGCCTCTGATTTTGGCCCTATCCATCTCCACGTCACCATCATCCTTCATGTGGCCATCAACAATCTTTTCAACTTGTTTATGAAGATGTCATTCCCCTCTTCGTCTGCCTCCCAAAGAAAATCTAAGCTCCTTAGAACAAACACATGGCCATATAAGGCTTTGTATGTCTGGTCTTACCTTCCTGTCTTCCTTATCTCACCAACACTTTCCCCTTGACATTTTATTTTCATTTCTTATACACTTCTATCCCTTTTCAAATGATGATCTTATTGCCATGGAAACACTTTCCCAGCTTCTGACAAATTTCTGTTTGTCCTTTAAGTGCTAGCTTCGAGATCTCTTTGATAAAGCCACTCCTATGTCTTTGACTGGGACTCTTCTTCATTCCCTTCAGGGAAACATGTTTTCATTATGAAAACTACTAAATTATAATCAAATTGTCTCTCTATCTTTTCTCTAATAAGGAGGTCATTGAGGGTCCTACAGTGCCTTTTCATCTTGTATCCACTCCTTCTTGCCCTGTGACTATATAGAATGAATGACCAAATGCAGTTTTTGTAATGACGAGAAAGTGAAAAGTTAAGAAACCACTCAACAAAACATAAATTAGGACTCAAAACTTCTGCCAATGCTGAAATCACTAGACAAAGTCCACACCAGGCTAAAACAGACTCATCAACAGGTGAAGCAGCTCTAACAAAAGATTAGCACTAACCTTCTGATGGAGAGACAGAACCATATGTGGAAAACTTGCAAACTGGAAAAGCACAAAGAAAATGAGCTGACTTGAGAGATGCTGCCACAGGAGTTGACTTGTTCCCCCATCATCAAACTTCTCCTCAGTCTCAGATCGCTCCATGGCATAGACCACCAGGTCCACCAGCTGGTCCTCCAGCACAGGGCAGCGCTGCTTATGCTGTAGGGCAGAGATTAAATACAGTATTCCAAAAGCCTCCTGGTTAGTTTCCTAAGTTACCAGTTAATGGGCATTATTTGTAACAAGAGGCTGAGAAGCATGAAATGAAGTTGAACTTAGAAAGTTAAGGTTAGATTTAGTCTATTAAAGCTGCATCATGTTACATTATCACAGAGGATGAGTTTCATTAAAAAAACCCTTTTTCAGGCCTCACACAAGACAGACTTCCCATTAACTTTTGACTTTTGCTGTAGACATCATTATTTCAATTTGACAAAGGGCACTGCACAGAACATTTTGCTATTTATCCTTTGAAAAAGTTAATTTAAAAGGCATATGAAATGGAGATAGCAGTATTAACTTTCAATCTAACCCAAAAAATGAAAACCCAGGATTTTCAGGAATCAAATATTGATAGGAGAGCAAAGAAACATGTGAATTTATTTGAAAGTAACCACAGATTTACTCTAACTTTATATACAGAGGTATACCTATAAAAAGCTGCCAGATTACTCAAAATCTCTTTTTTCAATGAGTGCTACTGATCCTAATACTGAAATGGAAACTTCCTTTAACAAAAAAAAAAAAAAAAAAAAAAAGGTCTCAAAGTTAATCTCTGCTCTTCTCTCTTAGAAGTCAAACATAATGCAGCTTTAATTGTAAATTAGACTATTTTAAAATCTAAAACAAGAAAAAGAACTGAGTTTAAACACTAAAAATGAGAATGCAACTTCCCTTTCTAGAGGCAAAAAGATTTATGCTTTTTAAAGTGATTTAAAAAATATATTTTACCAAAGGATATGTGTTAAGCCATATTTTATGCATTTTCATATTTCCTTAATAAAATGTTATATGGCTTAATAGTGAGGCAGTTACATGCCTTTCTAGTGAATACAATTACTAATATACGTGCTTTCCTTCTAAACTTTAGATGTAGTTATTAGTCTTTTGCCATGAAAAAGGGATATGATTTCTTTAAATTTAGGGAAAAATGCAAAATGGGGACGAATTTGGGGAAAAAAAACAAAACATAATGAATAGCATCCCCTCTTTTGCATGCTCTTTGCCAGCTCCAAACTTTTAAAGCTCCAGTATAGCTGCACTTTCTTAAAGCATGCACATAAAACAAACATCTATCCGAAACAGTAAGCATCAATGGTTGGTTCATATTTTTTTCCAAAAACACAATGCCATGTTCACAGTTCAACCACATTACAGGTTTACAAATAGCAATATTAACACCACCAGTTGAGACTACAGTACTTTTCCTCCAAATGTAATTATCATTATGAAGCAGAGCAAAGTGCAACAGACAACACTACAAACTATTTCTTAAATCAGCATGCAAAACTACTGTGTACAGGGCTTGAAATTCACTAGTTCTGCCAACCACCAACAACCTAAGAAATGTTTCAGACAACACAAATTTAGAGTGAGATCATTCAAAGTATATAAGAGTCAGAAAAATTCGGGAAAAGGAGTAAAGCCATCATTTCCAGTAGGAATTTTTCATTAGTGATGGGAATTCGCTTCGAGTTTGCCAACTAACCAATTTGTCACCTAGTCTTCCATCCGTGATGGTCTTTCACCAATCTGCTTCAGGAAAAAGGAGCAAACTAAATAAAGTTGGTTTTAGCATCTGAATCATTTTAGAGTTACCCTTTTTAATATTAGCTATTTTTTTTAAACTGGATTTTCACCTACAGATTTTAGGGGTGTAAGTGATGGTCATACAGTTAATGATTTAAGGAGAAAAAACAAAACTATTAAGGTTTTGATAAGGTAGAAGGATATTTTGACAAAGTAGAAAGGAAATTTACAGTTAAAGCGGATGATTTTTCAATACATACCATGACTCAAGGTTACATGCAAATTTTCTGTAGAGAATTAAATCAGTAAGGATCTCCTCGGTGCCTAAACGCCCCAGCGTCTGAGGGAGGCAGAACGTCTATCAGGATTAACTCTACATTTCCCAGGAGTTTTTGGTTAAAACCAAGGATACTTCTTAAACCCCTAACTTGAACATGTTTCTTTGTTTACGTGCAAATTTTAATAATACCAAAAAAGAAAATGATCTGTGCTACTAACTACTTTAAAATAATAAATTTTGCTGTAGTTTTCAATTACTAAGGTAAGTACATTAAAATTAAGACTTCCCATCACATAGATTATTGTACAAAGTGGAACAAATGAAAATTTGCACAGCTGTTAAATGATCTGCAAATAAAGGTTAATTATCAGTCACTAGGTTATGATAATTCTGTAGACCAATAGATACTATGTCTATGGTTACTCACAATTTGCTTTCTGAAAGCTTTTATAAATTTAAGTCTTCATTATATAAGTGTATTAAGTTGAATTAGTTTGTATGTCTATATGCATGTTTAGTTAAAACCTCTTTTAATGATAAAAATCTAAATTCAATATTTTAACAATTCAAATTCTGTATAATAGCTCAAACTATATTGGAAACATTTTCAACTTTCAGCTTTTACTGAAAGCTGAGGCATTAAGAGAAATATTAACATTAACCTCCACCCATGCCCCTGATTCTTTACCACCACGATTTCAGATGGCAGATGATAAGGCTTTTTTCAGTCTCAGTAATGATATTCCAGCTAAGCAGCCTCTAATACTTTCATATAACAGTTCTGGTACTGCTTTTGTGGTAAAATTTTAATATATTGTATTTAGGTGGCTTAAATAAATTTAAATCATTATTTCAGTGCTAGAAAACAATTTTAAAGCAATACTTATTCAGGACAAGGTGGGAAAAAATATCCCTTTGTATGTCATTTATTATATTCTCTGCCAGTAATAACAGGAACACCATGCCAGTTAACACCACTTCAATGGTGCCTCTAAACAGTGATTAGTCTAGTACTTCACTGTCTCAGGGTAATGAGAGTTCATAGACTACCACATAAGAGCTTGAGGAGTATGTTTTGTAATGCTCTTATTCAGTAGAAAGAACACAAACTCATGTAAAACACACAAAACGGTATTCTTCCACTGTGAACACTCCACCTTGCTGGTCACAGAACTGGGCTATTTATGACCTTCTAAATGTGAATGATTTTAAGATAAAATATAGCCCAATTCCTACTGGAAAATGCAATTTGGACAGCTCTTAAAAGCCTTCAAGCTTTCATTAATTACTGCATTGCTAGAGAAAGGACAAGAAAGTACAGTGCAGGATATAGTTTTGTAATGATAAAAGATATAATGTGATAACTTTCTTAGTTTTAATCATATTCGCCTTATACTCTGTGTTCTCATTTTCTTCTCTACTGGTGATAAAAATAACATATCAAGTCAATTCAGCATATTTCTTCCACCTCCAAGTCCATTCACTACAGCGTTCTACTGAACCACTACGGATGAATCGTCAATTTTTGACAATGTTTACACTTCAGTGGGACCAATAATAATAATGTTCTGTCAGCATTTCCATTATAAACTTTATTTTTTATGGATTTATGTCTTAGTCATAAACTTTTTTTAGGTTGAAACTTGTTATTAAAATGATTAGATCAGAGATACTCTTCTTTGAGTTGTTCTGTCAATTTTTGGTTTGAGAAGAGCTGCCCCCCAAAAGAAAGAAGCTAACGACAGCCGAGGCTGCCTGGGGGAAGGTGCTCGCAGCTCAAACGACCAGGGGTACATTTATCCACCAAACTGTAAAAAAATTGAGTCAAGTTTGATTTCAAGTTCACTGTAAAAATTAGTTTTAAGACACAGCATGAAGCATTCTTTCAAAGTTATCTGAATACTTACCTCTAACTCAAGTGAAAGTTGATCAGAATTAATGACTGGGTATTTAGGATGTTAAATTGACAGACTGATTATATGAGGTAACTGTCAGATACTGTGTGTGAAACAGTTTCATTTTCACATGTACAAAGGCTTGTCCAAACAAGGAAACTTGGTAAATTTTTCAGAAGAAAAAACTTAAAATAATAAGAGATACTGCTACTAGGGTGAGGTTTGGCATGCAAAGTTTCAACACTGAGCAAGTTTTATGGCCAAGCTATATGTCCTTAAAAATAGGGCTTTATAAATGGAAGCACTGGCACAACCTTCACTATAGTATTGCAAACAGTAACGCTATTTTATGTAACCTAGACAAGAACGTCTTTTTAAAATAAAAAAGCTGGTCTATTTTAATATGTTGGGCTCAAAAATTTTTAACAAAAACAACTGGAACCACTATTTTGCTTAAAATCTCCAAGGTGAAAAGTCCGGGAACAGACTTGGGACTGTATAAGAGTTTGATTTTTAAAGTTTGGCCATGGTGTTTTTCTCCCACCGTAGGTGAACTTCAGTGGAGAGGAGGAGCTCACTTTAGGAGGAGGACACCTCGGCAAAGACTGACAAAGAAGGGTGTCTGTCAGGCAGGTGTGGGGGCACCTAAGAGTGAGACATTTCTTAGTCAATCCCCATGTTTCCAAAAAAACCCTTCCCTGTATAAAGTTTACCACTCCAGGTTTTCAAAGTAACATATCTCTATTAAAGTGCTTTTTTTCCCTTTTGTTTTGTTTTTAATTTGTTTTCTTTTTTAAGGCAAAGCAACGTAAGTCTTTTATTGATGTTGTTATTTATTTATGTTTTAAAAGTCTGGAAAGATAAAGGCCACCACAAATCTTTCCATCTCTAAAAATGCCACCAGGCTAGCTTTAGCCCTATAGTATGAAAAACAGTAAAATGGAGTGGGAAGGAAAAACAACCCGTCAAAAAGTGACAGGCTTTATTGTGTGCCAGGTGTTGTCTCTTTGTTAAAAAGAAAAAAAAAAGAATATATTAAAAAAAAACACCAAAAACCAAAACCAAAAACAATCCAACAAAAACAACTCTCATATCTCATATCCCAAGAAGAAAGTCATGATAGTGGCCTTGGTCTCAGCATGGTCCTGCCAATTTCAAGCCCCGACCATACATGTATTCTCTAAATGAAATCAGTGGCTACAAAGCGGCCAGCGTATCGTTAGTCACAATACAACAGTAAGGTTGTGAACATACCTGAGCAATGTTCAAGGTCTAGAGCATTGGAGGATGGGCAGGACAAGACAGGACAGAACAAAAATAAAGGAAGAAAAAAAGAAAAGACAAAACAGTGACTATGAGGCCAGCCTCAAGGAACCCAGAGTCAGCATAAACCCTCCCACATGTTAAACCACCAAAAAACAAACATACACCAAAAAAAAAAAAAAAAAAAAAAAAAAAATTCAGCCATGAGGCCACGCTGAAGATACTAAGGGTCATAAAAAAGGATACCCAAACAATAAAAAAAAAAGTCAAAAATTATGGTTAAGTCATGTGTAGGTTTCTCTGGCAAAAGGTATACTTGAAACTGGCCTTATAGAAAAAAAAGCAATGCAAAATAAACCAACTTTTAAAATATTTCCTCTTTAATTTAAACATTCTTAAAGCAATATATATATATATAGATATATGATAGGAACAATACATTGTTGAATAAATCAAGTTTTTAAAAAAAAAAAATCACCCAATAGTTTTTAACTGTTTTGCTCAGTTAGCTATAGCAAAGAAAAGAGAAAAGAATAGTGCAGATTCTATGCGGAATTTACTGGGTTTCTAGCACAGTACAGTACCTGCTTATTTAAACCTAGCATATTGCAGACCATATCCCTGGAATAAGGCTGCTCCAATACATATCTCAACAAAGCAGTCTGTGGTTCAAACAGATCCTTTAAAGAAAATAAAGAAAGAATTATTGTTTCAAGATCAAAGTAAATGTTAATTCAAATAATTTGAAATTGGGATCAAAAAATGCCTCTAAAAGCACTTGTTACCTGCACACAGTAGGCAGTATCTAGTGAAAAAAAAATCATAGGATTTTAGTGCTTGCAATTAATCTATTCCCACCCCTTGTTTGATAAGTGATAACTAATGTGAAAGGACTTGCCCAAAGTCATGCAGAGAATTTAGAAATGACTTCAGGTAGTCACATGACAGTCATAAGCATCACTGTAAGAAAAGGATTTTCTGCTCTGAAATCTAATCCAAAGAGAAATGGTGGCAGTTTCCAATCACCCTTGTACAAGTGAAAAAAACCCAATTTCCAAATTTGGAGAGGAGAAATGACTTGACAGCACCGGGTTTAAGAGTGTAGATTCTGTGATCATATTGTTTGAGTTCAAATTCTGATTCTACCACTTCCTAAACATTGGGGCCTCACTCAAGTTACTACCTACTTTGTGTCTTATTTTCATCATCCATATAATAGAGATATTAAGATGATAGTTAAAAATAAGGATCTTGCAAAGTAAAGTTTTTAGAATACTACCTGGCACATAGTAAGCACACAATAAATTTATCTGTTTTCATTATTATTACTATCACGATGACAGTAAATTCCATTTAGTTTACCACTTTTTCACATTCCAAAGCTTTCTGACTAATACACCAAGAGCTCAGATTGTAACCTGTCTATTTTACCTGCCTCACTTTTGGACAAGTTCCCTAATTTTACTCAATGTATCACTTTTGACTTGAAACATTTACATGAAAAATTATCTAGCCCTGCCCATACCCTGGTCTGTTTTTACGCCAGTCCCCAAGACAATATAATGATCTGTCAAATTTCATTATAGCTTGTCTTTACCTCATGTTTCATTTTATTGAAACTTGTGAATTTTCTTTCCTTTGAGACTTTCTATTCCACTTTTGTTTCATACCCCCTTTTAAAAAATCTAACACCAGGAAGCTCACTCTTCAAATTTTACAGACATTGCAAATTCATTTTTGGTCCTCCCTTTGTAAAGGAAGAATGAAAACAAGGATTCGATTTAAAAAGTCTGTTTCCTAACACCAAGAGCTTTGCCAGAGGTGGGACCACTGGAGTATAAACACCTGAAATATTGCAAACCACAGAGCATATGTGGATTCTGGAATCACACATTGAGCCATACACTATCTTTCATTAAAAGTTACTTCTTCAGCCCTAGCTTGGTAGCTCAGTTGGTTGTAGCACCGTCCCGATATACCAAGGTTGTCGTTCTATCCTCAATCAGGGCTCATACAAGAATCAACCAATGAAAGCATAAATAAGTGGATCAACAAATTGATGTTTCTTTCTTGCTCTCTCCCTCCCAAAAAATCAATAAATTAAAATTTTTAAAAACTTACTTCTTCAGTGTATGAAGAGACAATTAGTATCACACATTATGTAATACAGGATGAAGACTGTTAGCCCAGAAGTTCCATTATAATTAGCAACATACCTTATCATATGGCAAAAGGCCTTTCAAAGGAAAACGAAGAGTTGCAGGATCCAATTTCCATGAATTACAAATGGCACCTGAGTTATTTACAACTGGCAGAAGGCTGCAGCGGCCTGTGTGTATTACAAAAAATGTTTTTAAGCAAATGTGAACACAGCAATGCCTAGTCCTTCACTCACTCTATAAATATTTAATGAGTATCTGTGCTGAACCAGGCACTGGTTTAAAAAATGTTTTAATCAGATAAAAGTTTGAAAATGTTCTTTAATTCTTTTTCTTTGAATATTTTTAGTCCAGGTGGTTAGAGACCAATTTGTGAGGTTGTGGACATACAATGGGTCTGAAGGTATCCACAAAGTCTGATACCAATTTGTACAGGCCTTCTAAACTCAAAAAGGTTGCATTTATCTAAGTATCTAGGACGGAGGTCAGCAGTCTATAATCCATGGGTCAATTCCAGCTTGCTACCTGTTTTTGTAAAGTTTTATTGGATCACTGCTGTTTTGGACGACAATGGCAGAATTGAGTAGCTGCAACAGACTGAATAACCCACAAAACCTAAAATATTTACTGTATCGCCATTTATAGAACAAGTTTGCAGACTTCTCTAGTCTAGGGTCAACATGATTAACTTCAAGCATAATGTTCCCAGAGGCCTTTGATGCAGCATGTGACTAACAGCACATAAACCCAACTGCATGATGAATGTTGCCACTTGGGTGGCCCATGGGTACCTAAAGCTCAACATGTGTTAAATTGAACTCATCAACATACTTCTTAAACCTGTGCCACTTTCATAATTCATTAAATGATATCAATCTCCACTCAGTTACAAAAGCTATAAGTCTGAGAATTATCTGTCTAGTGTTTAATTTATTTTTGTATTTCAGTATCCAGAATAGCATCGTACTCATAGGAAGTGCTGCTATTGACTAAATAATGGACTATATTCCCAGACAGTTCTGAGGCTACCATGCTTATTGCAAACATTGTCAAATCACATGCTTATTTTTAAAAGAAAATTCTGAGAATCCAAGAAAACATGAAAAAATGGAAAATAAAATAAGTGAAATAGAGAGCAAAGTTGTGAATTGGAATGGGCTTGAAAGAGTCTCCTAGTTTTGTATATTGTGGCCACAGAGGGACAGGTCTGTAGAGATTCCAGTTCTTAGAGATTCCATGGTGCTTTACTAGCTCTATTCCAAGTTCCCTCTAATTGCTAGGAAAGGCAGCTTTTAGAACAGTTCTCTCTGAAACTTAGACTCATTCCAGACATTTTCTTTTCCCTCCCTTTATTCAGTACACAAAGTACCTAAAAGTAAGTAAAAGGCTATTATTAAACTCCTAGAGAGTTACTAAAATGACAAGCCATCAAGACATGTATAAGATACTGTCAACTTTGTTCCATAGTCAGATCAGTAGAAATCACACATTATTTAGTATATTTTGAATTATAATCCTACCACAAATGGAGTTTATCCTTGCTGTGGGCCTGAAGGTATCCACAAAGTCTGATACCAGGTTTCCAAGTAACTAAAAACAAAACAAAAAAACAAACAAATATAAAAATAAAATCAAGACTGCTCTTAATATAATGATCATTTACATCAAATGAGATAATATGGAAAGATTTAGTATGATGCCTGGAACATTAAAATTACTCAAAGTTTAATTCTCTTTTGCTTCCTTCCAATTACTTACCAGTTCCTCTCTCTCTGAATTAAGCCAAGTCATACCACAATGTCCTTAGCTATTGATGAAGCTACGCGTATTTTATCACGTAGTACATAAAATGTTTCAATAGGAAAGCAGAGAAATGAAGGAAATAGAAAACAATAATAAAAATATGTCGTATCTAAGGATGAAAGTAACCATTTTAAAAATAAGCATAGCCTTGGCTGGTGTGGCTTAGTGGACTGAATGCCAGCCTGCAAACTGAAGGGTTGCTGGTTTGATACCCAGTCAGGGCAAATGCCTGGATTGTGGGCTAGGTCCTTAGTTGGGAGCACATGAGAGGCAAATCTCCTCTTTCTCCCTCCCTTCCCCTCTAGAAATAAATAAAGTCCTAAAAATAAGCACAAAAAAAGATTAATATAACTATTTTTAAAATAAAAATTGCTATTACATTTTTTGAAAAATATCAAACTTACCCAGTGTGGAAGTTTTCCCTCAGGATATAGTTTTCTGATCTCTGTGACTGCAAAATAGGCTGGTAACAAACAGGCATTTCTTTCCAAGATATATGCTATAACCTAAGAAAAATAAAAGGGCAATATTGTTATTTTTGACTAATTCCTTTAAATGAATTTAAATATATTTGTTGTTATTATTGATCCCTTTAAATACAACAACATATTAAAAAGTAAAAATATTTTCATTAATTTCTTGGACTTAAACTATAGCATAAAGGAAGTCATTTATATGTGAAAAATCTCTAAAAATGAAGATTAATAAACAATGAAATGGCCCTGGCTGGTGTGGTTCGGTGTATTGGGCGCCAGCCTGTGAACAGAAGGGTCGCCAGTTCCATTCTCAGTTGGGATGCGGGCCTGGGTTGCGGGCCAAGTCCCCAGCTGGGGGTGTGGCAGGGGAAACTGTCGATATCTCTCCCTCTCTTTGATGTTTCTCTCCCCCTCCTTCTCCCTCCCCTCTCCTTTCTCTAAAAGTAAATAAATAAAATCTTAAAACAAACAAACAACGAAATGGATTGCTGATGGTTATTAAATAACGTTGAAAATGCTTTAAATATTGGTAGATTATCTCCAACAGAAGAGCAACAGACCCAAAGTAACAGTTCTTGCAACATTAGTTACAAAACACAAAGGTCTTTTAAGTGGTCCATAGGCTGACATCTTATAAAGGTTGAAAATACTTTTATATTTATATTTTTACAATTAAAAATGAATTAATTAAAAAGTAAAATAGCATCTTTAAAACTAAAAGTGGCCCTGGCTGGTGTGGCTCAGTGAATTGAGTGTGCTGGCCTGTGAACCAAAGGGTACTTGGTTCGATTCCCAATCAGGGCACATGCCTGGATTGTGGGCCAGGTCCCCAGCAGGGGGTGTGTGATATGCAACCACACACTGATGTTTCCCTCCCTTTTTCCCTCCCTCCTCCTCTGTTTAAAAATAAATAAATTTTTTAAACATTTAAAAAAAAATTCGTTACAAAAACTACAAGTGATTTTGGGTACACTCTCCATCTAAGGGAGCTTACCCATGCTCTTGGGCTTGCATCTCCTTAGCTCTAAGGGTGCCCAAGAGACCTGCAATGGGCAGCGGCAGCTTGTCCCGGACTCGCCCCCTGAGCCTGTATCCAAGGCCCCTTTTCCCAGCCTCTCCAGTGAGCCAAAGCAGCCCCGCCACGGCTCATTTCTCTCCCATAACATTTCTAGAGCAAAGCAGCCCCGCCTGGGCTCTCTCCTGTTGCTTCTTTTATCCTAAGCCCTTCCGTATTTCACTGTCCCCAACTTTAATAAATGTGTTTTTTTAAAAGTGATTTTTTAAGAAGTAAACTAGAACATTTCACAAATTACATAAGTTTTAAAAGCACATAACTCCATAAAACTACTTTTTGGAGGCTATGATCAATGCACTGCAGACATGTTTAAATTACCTCTCTTGCTGTTAGAAGCTGCTGTACAACAGCTGAGCTCACTGTATTAGGAATTGTCAAGATTTTCTCTAAAATTGCTTTTAAGAGATCTCGAACACCCTGATTGAAAAAAAAAGCCATTGGTTAAAACTAAGTAATGTTCCCTGTGCTAGTTAAGCATCTAGTTTCAAGATTATAACACTCAGAAAAAAAGTTTCCTTCAAGGTTACACCTTCAAGTTTTCTGAATCAGAGTTAATATTCAAGTCCCGAACATTAACCCCAAGACATGAGTCGTGTTCCAAGACAGAATTCTAAAGGATGCCTTGTCATATGAATGAACAAAGAAAGTCACTAATATATAAAAATGAAACTTTCCACACTCTGCTAAGCTTTTTTGACCTTCATAACATTAAGAGTTTCTATTGTTATAAAGGCCAAAAAAGCTTGATTTGGGCTTACAGACAGATACGTATTTCAATAGAACCTGTAAACAACCTGAAAATATGGACAAAAATATTAAACTTTCTGGCAGATGACCCTTTCTGCTCCCTCCCTTTGGCATATTCTAACTTTATTCTCCGTTCTCATCACTGCATACCTTAATCCTTCCAATTTATCCAACAAGGCTATTCTGTTAATCATTCATCTCCTTATATCTATTACAAGTTGCATTATTTGAGAGCAGAATCTGATATATAGAGAAGAAATTCAATATACACTTACTGAGTATAAGCTATGTGATGAATCTTATAGAGAAAACATATACATGAGAAATTTAAAACACAAAGCATCATATAAATAAAAAGGCAAAAACTGCATATTAACTTGCTAAGGAAACTGAAATAAAGAGAAAATAATCAGAAAAAGCTTCTTAGAATTATTTTGTATTAAATCATAATTCATGTCAACAGTTATCAACTAAGTCATTTTAGATTAGAGAAAATACAGACATGAAACACAGGGTCAAGCATTGGCAATTCTTTCAGAAAGGAAAATAACAAAAGTGGCTTAAATGAACCAGAATGACTTTTGCAGCTATTGAAATACTGAGCTTTATTATGAGACACAATGAGAGTGTATGTATATGCTATTGTTTTTGGTCAAGAGCAGAGCACCAAAGAAACTTGTTAAGAAAGGACACGTGTGCAAGGAAGGTCAAGGTGGAGGTGAGGCGGGGCTTGCTCCCTTCCGTGGTTGATGCCTACATCTCTTAGTTCTGTGTATTCCTCCCCAAAGCTTTTGTTTGAAAGGGACCCCGACATTGTAAGAAACCTAAAGTCTGCTTGGCAAATTCCCTACTCACCACAAAAATGTATTAGCCACCTGCATATTTATGTTGGGAGGCGCGCAAGGAACTGTAGAAAACAATGAGTAATTTTAAATCCTTTTAAGAAATAAGCAACACAAAACAGATTTAGTAAATGTTCCCACTTCATTGCTCCCATCTGAAATTAAGATATATACAACTGAAAAATTAATCTGGCCTGAAAGCAATTATTTTTATAATCAGGAAAATATACCTTATAATCCACTCCACCAATTATTTTCCGAACCAGTTTAAATGTTAAGGCCCAAAGCTGTGTTCTTTCCCATTCAAGAGTATCAGAATTTATTAAGGATTCACAAACCATCCTAGAAAAAAAGAATACCCATTCCAATTACAAAGACAGAATTTTGCAAGTTCTCTAATAGCCAGGGTCTTTATACCCTGGATATTACATTTGTCATAGTAAGTATCTTTCATAAAAGTACATTATTCAAGCACACTTTTTAAAAATTGTGTATAGTACTTTACATATTTTACTTGTATAAGAAAATAAACACAAAGTAGAACTAAATAATACTCACTATATTTTTACTAAAAAGAAATCTATCTAAAGATAGATGGTTAAATGTTTGCCATCTATCAGCTTGTGGTAGACTGTATATTTCCAAGACGGCTACAATAAGATTTTGATACTCATGCCCTTTAAAATATGTCATTGATATTCCTCCTGTGAAAAGGCTGGAGGAGAGTCAACATTCTCTACCCTTAAATTTGGACAGGCCTAAAACCATGGCAAAAGGGATGCTGTATGACTTCCAAAGCAAGATGATACAGCTTCTACCTAACCTGCTTTTGAATGCTTCCTCTTGGAGTGCACCACGCTTTGAGAAAGTCCAGGTCACATAGAGAGGGCAGGTGCAGATTCAGGCCAATAGCCCCAGCGAAGGTCCCAGATGACAGCCCAGCACCAACCACCAGACATATAAACGGGGAAGTCTTTATCATGACGCTAGTCCTAGCTACTCCCTGACTATAATCATGAGGCTCTGAAAAAAAAAAATGTCTAGGAAGCCCAGTCAACCACCAGTAACTCTGAGTGTTAATAATAAAATGATTATTATTGTTTTGGGACATTAAGTTGAGGTGCAACAAAAGTAACTAGAACAAGCTCATCAAAGTGAGTGATTTTAGCCTCTGGGCTGAACGGCAATGCCAGCCTGTTTTTAAGCCTTTAAATATACAATTTGAAGAATACTGTACCCTAGCCCTGGCTGGGTAGCTCAATTGGTTAGAGCATCATCCTAATACACCAAGGTTGCAGGTTGGATCCCTGGTCAGGGCACATACAAGAGGCAATCAATGAATGCGTTAAAAAAAAAAGAAAAAAAAAAAAAAGGAACAAATCAATGTCTCTTTCTCTCTAACAAAAATTAATAAATAAAAAAATTTTAAAGAATCTTGTATACTAGAAACTAAAACCCGAGATATTATAAAGAATTCTTGTTTTTTATAAAAATTGATTGATTTTAGAGAGAGAGGAAGTTGGGGGGGAGAGAAAGAGAGAGAACGAGAGAGAGAAACACTGATTTGTTGTTCCACTCATTTCTGCATTCATTGGTTGATTCTTGTATGTGCCCTGACCAGGGGTGGAACCTGCAACCTTGGTGTATTGGGATGATGCTAAAAACCTACTAACTACCTGGCCAGCACTGAAGGATTGTTTGTTGAACCTAACGTCCTTCTTCATTTCCTTATCCTTTTATAAAAATCTTGACCAATTTCCAAACATTAATTAAAAAAAAGAAAATTCTTTGGATTGTTCCCACCTGCCACAAACATACCTGGGTGGAAGGAGACCAGTCTCGACTGCCATTGCTAAGCAGTCATAAAGAAAAGAAATTCTTTTAGGACTATGCTGGCCATGAATGAATTTAACAATCCACTGGATGCATTGTTCATGTGATTCCTGGAAAATTAGAAAATGATTGTATTTTAAGTTTAAAGTTCTATCTTGTAACTAACAAATGGCTAATACTATACCTGGGAGTATATCAAGACTGTGACTGAGATACTGAACTATAAACGTTCATGGGTAAAGACAATTTTTAAAAAATAAAAAAATTCAGATTTTGTATTTTACTTATATTAAGCTTAAAATCTTACAATTATATAGATTAAACTACCATCATTTTTATTACATGGGACCTCCAAAAGGAGTAAGAGATCATTAACATATTTGTGGACAATAGAAAACTCCTAACACAGACCGTGTAAGCTATTGTAAACAGAGACCTATCCAACAGCAGATATCAATATTCCTGTCGCTGAGGGAAACATTCATTATGGGTTAGTACATTAATTAGCCTCATGAGAATTTAATGTGAATCTAATCTGTAGGAGCTCAATCAAATATGAATCCAATGACATAATGAATTTCTAGACTTATATAACATGAAATCTGATACGCAGATATAGTGCCATATCAAAGTCTGTCTTCTAGGATACCCTTGAGAAGAGCCTATGTCCTGTTCCTCTGCACCTCCACTGCCCTCGCACATACTTCGATTGTTGAATGTATCCTGCTGATTTAGAAATATCCATTTCCTTCCCAGCTCCCCATTAGAATATAATCTCCTTTGAAGATAAGGGCCATACGTTACCTCATAACATGTTTAATGAATTATTTAAAATTTTAACTATTTTGGAAAGATGTTCAACATCACTCAGAGAAATGCAAAATAAAATTATATGGAGATAACATTTCTCATGTTTTAGATTGGAAAAGATCAAAAAGTTCTGCCCTGGTCAGGTGGCTCAGTTGGTTGTCCTTAGCACTGTCCTTTCCACCAAAAGGTTGTGGGTTCAATTCCCAGTCAGAGCACATACCTAGGTGGCAGGTTTGACCCCCTATCGGGGTGCATATGGGAGGCAGTCCTTCAACATTTCTCTCACATCGATGTCTCTCTCTCTTTCTCTCCCCCCCCACCTCTCTCTTCATCACTCTCTAAAATCAATAAAGGAATCTTCCATCAAAGATTAAAAAACCCCTTACCACTCAATTATGAGCCTATTGGGAATGTATACTCTCATACATTGCTAATCAAAGTATAAATTGGTGACCCTTATGGAAAGCTATTAGGCAATTTCTATAAAAATTACAACTATATATACCCTCTGACCCAGCAATACTACTTCGAGGAATTTGTTCGGTGTTTGCACATTAATATCATTCATTTTACATTGTTTAAGGTAGAAAAGGTAAGAAGCAACCTAAACATCAGGTAGAGGGAGTCTGGATAAATAAAGAAAGGCACAGCCAAAAAATAGACTATTATGCTGCAAGAAAGGAAGATAGGCTGAAATTTTAACTTTTAGTGGATTTCTGTAGAAATTATTTTCAGAATTTATTAAGAGGGAAAAAAAACCAAGGTGCAAATGAACAGTGTTCATAGTATATGACTGTTCTGTAAAAATCATTCTACATGCATAAAACACTTCCAGAAGAAAACAAATTGATCATACTGGGTGCAGACCAAAAAAAGAACAGGTAATTAAGCTAAAAGAGATGAAAGGCAAACTGTTAATTGGGTCCACCTTTTTGCACTTCTTGCATCTTGCACCATATGACTATATCATCTATAGAAATAGAATTAAAAGGTTTTTTAGAAAAGCGAATATTTTACCACTATGTGATCCACATCTGAGTAGCAAGTCTTACCACCAGCACCTCAACTGCAAACATTTCCCTACCTATCAGAAATCATAAGAAGAAAATGCATCACTGGAACATGAATTTTTTAAGGATCACACATTTTGTCTTTTTCAAGGATACATTTCCTGGTGACTGTTCTTTGTAACTGTTTTACTGTTCTTTTCCTCGTTTTTATTAAACCTTTATATCCTTATTATAAAATCACTGTATCCTTATTGTGGCATTTCTGTATATTTAATATAGTATCTTCATTATACCGTGCCAATTCTTTGGATGAGAAAATAAATGAAATTTTTACCCTTTATAATCTCTAACACATCTGTTTTCTTTCAAGTGTACCAAATAAATCAGAATAAGTTGCAAATGGTGTTATATAATCTAACATGGGGGAGACTGTTAACATCTCACACTGCGCTGTCATCGACCTGACTTCTTAATACAGGTTCTCCCCTGGAAGAGTACAAATTGGAACAAATGGAAACCTGAATGGGCAAATAAAAGATGATAATTTTATCTTTCCCTTCCCAGTAAACCTCAACAGTAGCATCAAAATAAATATTAAAAAGAAGGGGTCAAAAATCATCAGCTGAATAAGTATTAAAAATGCAGTACTCACCTGAGGAAGACCACCCCAAAACTGTCTGAAGGCCCCCAAACAGCTAATTAGTTTTGTTTTTTCATCTTCAGGGGTATCCATAAACATTCTATAAACAAAAATCACGTTATTTGCCAGTAGTTTGAGAAAGGTCATTCAACACTACCAGAATAGTTACAAACTTCCAAGGCAAAACTACGGGAAATCGTACAAAGATGACACCTTCACGTTAAAACACAAAAATCTGCCATGCAAACACTCACCCAGGGAAAGCCTCTTCTATAATTTCTGTTTTCTGTAAAAAACAAAAGAAAACGACGTGATTTTTTTTTAAAAGAGGGGCCTCCTCGAGCAAACAATTACAATGTAACATCGCGCAAATCATCCTAATCAGCTCCGTGCTAGAAACTAACAATTTCTGCCTAGCCTATCACAATGGGTGTTGTGGATTTCAAAAGGACTTAGAATTTGACAGCAGTTTGAGAATCGCTAAACCTCTGCACACACACACACACGGTGTCACAACAAAGGAGAGGCTGCGAGAGGTTGTGAGTGCAGGTCCCTTGATCTGCTGCCCCAGGTTCTCCCCCTCGCCCAGCCGGCGCCCTGGATCCTTGGCGTTCACTCACCACCACCTCCTCAAAAATGCTCTGTAGTTGCGTTTCCATCTGTACCATCGCCCCCGCCCCCCTGGGCGCCCGGCTCGAGGCCGGGTGTCAGGCCAGAGCTCCGGCAATAGACCAGCAGAAGGGCGGAGACGCCCGCAGGAATCCGCAGGTAGATAGGGTCGCTCTCCACTTGAAACGCTCAGCTGGGAGAGTCCTTTCTACGGCCCAGCCAACGCTCGGGGCCTGCACGGAAGCGCCGGGAAGTGCCTGGCGCTCGCTCATTACCAAACCCTCAGAAACCAGGGACCCAGCCAGATGGTTCCGCGTGACGGGAAGGGCGGTCTATGAGCCAGACGAGAGCGCCCCCAAGTGGAGTCTCAAGCCTAAGTTACCCCAAGGCGTTGTCGGCGCCAGGTCGCCACCTCCCGGCTGGAGGAGGATTTGCTGCAGCCTGCAGGCGATGTTTCTGCGGCAACCTGAGTCAACCTGAGTCAACCTGAGTCAACCTGATGATGTCTGAGCTACTGACTTGTAGCTCCGTTTGCAGCTTGGAAGCGGGAGTTGAAACCACACTTTCCCTGGCCACAGGGACCATATCTTCTTAACTATGGTAACCCTAGTACAGTGCTGAACATACTGCAGGTTTTCAATGAATATTGAAAAGAAGTCATCATTGCTTTTTAATTAGAATAATAATACACTTTAAATTATAATAATCTAAAAATAATTATATTTACCAGTTACTGAATACCTATAACCTATTTGGTGGGGGTTGGGGTCGAGAAAGGTGACAAAGAGGAAGGCTCATTCCATGGCATGGTCAGAGCAGATGTCTAAGTGCACTGACTGGCGTGCGCTCCACCATTTTATTTCTTCAAGCATCAGTTTGACAGATTCTGGAAACCTAGTCCAACTTTTTCAAGCTGATTTAAAGTCCTTTTCTTTATCCTTGTATAATACCTTCGTGCATAACTAGTAGAGGACTTAATTTATGGAAATTTTTTCACCATTCGCTCGGTGCTAGACATGGTGTTAGGTATTTAATGAATTTTTTTAAAAAAGATCTTTAAATATCCTCTTTTCTTTTTTCCTTTTTTCTTTCTTTTACAAACTCTTGTGTGGAGGGCTGACTTTCTACAGCTCGCAGCACAGGAGCTGCTCTGCTACTCTGCTAGTAGAAACCCCGACCCAGAAGCAGGTCATCTACAAATGGTTTAGCGTTAATGAATTATTGCACTAAGCAGTTTTGCAGTGTCCAAGCTAGATGAACGACAGAGCTAGAATTATTAAAACTCAACTTCCTTAACAATCCACTGTTTTTTTTTTGTATTTTAAACAGATTCTTATTGTGGATTATCTTGAATCAGAGACTCCTCTAAAACAGTTTTCACCTACTATCAAGCATATTGTCATGCTTTCACTCTGTTTCCAAATCATTGTATTCTCAGCAAGTACCAGCCAATTAAAAAGGTAAAATTAATTAAAAGGTAAAATAGTCAGGAAGGAATTATATTTTTGTCATAACCAAGTACACACTAGTATTTATATCATGCTTGCTGATGCTTCAGTCATTGAATAGAAATTGACCATTTCTAGAACCTCTTAATGTGTCTTCTTTGTACACTAAATTTTAACATTGATGCATAACTTCTTACAGTGAAATGTATACATTTTAAATATACAGATTCATGAATTTTGACAAATATTTACACTTGTTTAACTACACCTCTGTCAAGATATGGAACAACATTCATCACTCCAGAAAGTCTCTGTTGTTTCTTTGTACTCAACCCTCCTCTCAAACACAAACCATTAATTTATGCAACCATTAACTAGTTTGCATGTTCTTGAAGTTTATACAATTGGAATCATGCAATATGTATTCTTTCATGTTTATTTTCTTTCTTACGATATTGTATTTTGAAATTCATTTATGTGTATCAGTCCATTGTATGAATGTACTACAGATGACGTAATGATTCATCAGTTGGTAGTGAGGACTTTTATAAGAACTTTAATTTCATAACTTGTGGTCCAATATTTGGAATCTTTTTACATATTGTGGATGATAAAAAAGAGTTCTATGGAAAGAAATCTCACAAGCTGGGCAGATCATGGTGGGCAGTCATGTCCCAGGCCTATAACTTTTTTAGTGAAAGGTTTTAAGCTAGACCTGTCCATTGTTTTTGTGCTTGTAGGTTAAGATACCTTTGACATACCAGAATGCCCATGGAAGGGGTATTAACCTCAAAAGAACACATAATCTTGTTAACTATCCTATAACCCAACCTCTACCCTGCTTTTTTTCCCACCTCTATGTAATCTATTCATTATGTTCCCCCATAAATTTTAAATGCATAAAAGAAGCTGCAAAACTGTTCTTCTGTGGAGTATAAGAGAGCTTTCTGCCAGCATATGTCAACTCTTATAAAAATTCTCTACATGTTTTTCACTCAGACATTTACTTGGCAGGATTCTGACAAAACCTACCCAGGGCCACCTTGAAGTCTGGGACCAAGTGCTAGGCACAAACAAGGGCCCATTGTGCCCCATCGCTATGCATCAGGTGACCAGGGGTGAGTTTCTCTTGAAATTCCAGGCATTTTTGCTTTAAGTAGCAGGTTATGACTTTATCTGATTTATTTTTAGAAGATCCTGAGGTGGATACGGGTTAAGATAGCCCAGGAAAAGGGGGGGGAAAGGAGGTTCTTGCTTTTAATTTTGGCTTTTTAATTGGATTATTTAGTGAACAAAATCTTTGCTGGTTAAATGAGATACTGAACTCTCTTTAGCTCCAAAAAGAAAAGAACACTTGCTTTTGAACCTAAGTATCAGTGATGTGACAATAGTGCTGTAAATTCGGGATGTGACCCTGAATGTGGAGAGGCAGAGACGGGCTCTGCAAAGTGTCCAGAAGTGTCCAGTGCAGTAGCACAACCAATCCTGGAGAAGCTGGAGCGAGCCCTGGGAGAAGGCCTGATCTCCCTGGAAAGGGTGCACCCCAAGAAAGAAGCCCAAGAAGGGGACCTCTGCTTTGGAAAGTCATGATTTGGGCTGCATTGGGTAAGTTTTTGCTTTACTCGGGTTTTTTTAGGTGACTTTGAATCTTGGGCTTGCTTGAGAGGGTAAGGCAGTCCTCATCTGGAGATATGCATGTAAGGACGAGTTTTCCCTAAAAGTTTGTTCAGACTCTACAGATCTCAAAATTAACAGGGGAAATCATCCCTCCCAGGCCGAAAAGACCCACCATAGCCTCCCATATATGACCAAGATAGCCAAGGTTCTTTAATACTTCTAAATTAATCTTTGTGTGCATAATTAGAAAAAGTTAGCTGTAAAATTAGGCAAAATGAAAGGAAAAACAAAAGTCTTAGAGACTATTTTAGAATTTAAAAGGCTTCCTCTCCAAAGCTAGAAGTAAAAGGATTTAGATAAATGGATCAACCTATGATATCTTTTAGGTGTCAACCAAATTGAATTCTTTGTGGAATTAAATATGTCTGTCCTCAATTTAAAAAGAGGAAGGTCATTTGGAACTTGACTCGTCAAGGACACATATAAATTTGTAAATGCTTCCAAAACAAAATTTGGATCCAACTCTTCTGTTTTTGTCTGTCTGTGTATGTCTGTATATGTATGTTGTAAGTGCGAGATAATTCCCTACCTCTGGATAGTATTGTTAAAACTAATTTAAAGGCGAGTGCTTGTAAGGATAGGGTATTCTCAAATTCTCAGAAATGCAGAAACTAACTCAAATGCTTTTCAAGTTCACATGATCTAAGATTAATCCCTAGTAAATAAAAGCTAGCTTAAGTTTGCATGTTAGTAATTGACTTTTACACCTATGAAAAATGTTTCTAGGGGTTATAAAATTTCCAAGCCCAACCATGTTGATTGATTAGTTCTTAGTTTGTATTAGACACTAAGATTTTAAGGGTTAAAATCTCAATATATGGAGGAAAACTTCTAGGGTAAATTGTATGGGTAAACCATGGTTGTAAATTAAATGCATAGTTGGGGCCCTGGGAAACCAAGGTGACCACTAGTTCTTCCCGGGTCCCTGGCTTCCGTTTTTCAGATTTCGCTTCCCTTTATACATCACAGTGCATTTAAGCTGGACTTAGATGAAGCAACTTATGAGCTGACATTATTGAAAGGAGATATCTTACACCCTTGCCAAGTTCTGCTAAAGTCGAAAATGTCAGTTTGGGAACTGCTTCCTCTCACAGTGAGCTCCCAAGAGACAAAGACTTTAGATATTGATTTTTGGAAACGACATCAAATAAAAGACACTCTTCAACCTTCTTGGAAGGGATGTTATCAGGCGCCCATCCACAAATGGACTTTGACCCCTGTCTAGGAACTTCAAAGTCTCCTTGAGGAAAAGTAACCACCAACGGAGGTGGACAGCTAGCCCAAGGCACTGACAAGGCTTATATAGCCATGGATGGATGTTTGTGGACGAAAGGGGCCACATATTCAGGGGGGGCCTGTGTGGGCAGCCTTACTGCGTTTGTACTCAGACACCTAAAGTAACCACTGAGGATGGTTTGAAATTAGTACATTTTAACTAAAAGCAATTCTTGGCTGGTAGTTATGTCCTAGGGCAGTGTTTTCCCCTAGCAAATGTCAATCATTACCTATCCGTCTTTTGTATATAGGATAACATAACTGATAACATGCCTTTGGAGTAACAAAATAATCCCCCTCACCCCTCATTGTTTGCATCATGGTAATTGTTGGCTGTTAACTATCCTGTACCACCTATGTAAAAGAAGCATGTGTCTATCATTTTACTTTTTATTCAATTCCAGAGGTTTTTTTCACTTTGCTTTCTCCCACCTCCCTAATCTGTCATCAATGGATTTCTTGTAACCCACTTACAATATGTCTTCTTTTTTTTATTGTAATGTATAAAATAAGGTGCAAAACTGCCATTGTTATGGAGAATTTTCTCAATCCGTTGAAGTTTTGCTTCCCAGCAGTTGTCCTCAGTTTGGTTCAGATAAGCTCATAAAAATTCTTACAGGTTTCAATGTGTTTTGCATTGACATACTGAACTCAGAATATACTTTCATTTTTTTTTCTTTAACTGTTGCTAATGATATTCATCATAATATTACTTTTGTATTGGGCTTTTCTATATAGTCCAACCATTTATGATTGCTGAACATGTTTAAAATAACTTCACGGCTTATGTAAATGTTATACTAGATGCCAAATACAAAAAAATGAGAAGGCAGCAAAATTCAGATCATGATAGTTTATAAGGCAAAAAAAATCCAGAGTGTTTTTTTGCAATA